CAATTTTTAAACTAGTGCAAAAACTCCATTTCAGTGCGGATATTAAATTATTGAACAAAGGCTCAATATGTTCTGCACAATTACAGAAACTCACCCCCTTCCTCGACCCTAATGGTCTCATACGCGTCGGTGGCCGATTGTCACATTGTTCGCTTGCTCATGACATACGTCACCCTATTGTTCTACCCAAGTCTCATACTGTAGTGAATTTGCTTATAGACTTTTACCACCAGGTACACTTGCACTCAGGTCCGCAACTAACTCAATCACTACTCGCCCGAAAAGTGTGGATTCTATCGGCCAGGAGCGTTATCCGCTCGCGCATATTTAAGTGTCTTGTGTGCTTTAAAAATAAACCACGAAACAAAATCCCTCTAATGGGTGATTTACCTGCTCATCGGGTCAATCCTACTCGTCCATTCTCATCTACAGGCGTAGATTACGCCGGACCATTTAGTGTTCGCGTTTGCAGTCTCAAAGCTCTTAGACAGATTAAGGTCTATTTGTGTATTTTTATCTGCATGGCTACCAAAGCTATTCATATAGAGGTAGTCACCGATCTTACCACCTCAGGCTTCATTGCCGCTCTCACACGTTTTGTGTCGAGACGCGGACTCTGTTCCGATCTGTATTCTGACTGCGGAACCAACTTTGTTGGTGCAAACTCGGAATTACGCAAGGTAATCCGTGAAACCATCCTTACACCTGATTCGCAGGACAAAATTGTTCATTTCACCACCCCCAAAGGAATTAACTTCCATTTCAACCCCCCCTCTGCACCTCATCAAGGTGGCTTATGGGAAAGTGCCGTTAAAAGTGCAAAATACCATCTGAAACGGGTAATTGGTGAAACCATTTTAACTTTAACCCAATTTCAAACTTTGTCCATTCAAGTAGAGGCAATGCTAAACTCGCGCCCTCTTACAGCTCTTAGTTCAGACCCTTCCGAAATTTCTGTGCTGACCCCTGGACATTTCCTCATCGGAGCTCCATTAGTTGCCCTGCCGGAACCTCACCTGTCTGAAGTGCCCTTCAATCGTCTTCGTCAGTGGCAGCTTGTCCAGGCTTTTCACCAGCGTATCTGGAGGCGTTGGCAGCTTGAATATCTCCACTCCCTCCAGCAGCGATCCAAGTGGACCACCCCTCATGAGAATTTGAAGACCGGAGACTTGGTGCTCATTCACTCCAATTCACCTCCACTCACCTGGCCTCTTGGACGCATCGTCTCCACTCACCCTGGCGCTGATGGAACAGTTCGAGTCGTCACAGTGAAGACAGCTTCTGGGACTTTCACACGGCCTGTTCACAAGGTCTTCCCTCTGCCATGCAATGAAGACTAAGTCCAAGAACCTACTCTATGTACATATTAGATTTAAGTGTGGTTTACGTTTGCTCTTGTGTTTTTTAATTAATTGTCTGTTGAAGCTGTAATGCTTCAAGGGGGCCGGAATGTTCGGTATTCATATTTTTAGAGTATTTAGAAATTAATCATTATGTTAATTAAGTCACTGGTTAATTAATCATGCTAATGTGTATATAAATCACCACATTTATTGTAATATTATTTAGTCTCAGTAACAATTTATTGTAAATAGACTCCCGCTTTCAATATTCAAATGAGATTGCTAAGCCTGCTCGAATTTCCCGCCACAGTAAGGCCTATTTTCCTGTACTACATACCCATGAATCACCTGACGCCGTGTTTGCTTCAATCGCATTTCCTATTGGCCATCGAATTCCTAGACCCCTCTAAACCACAATTGCATTTTTCAAAGTGTGAAGCCGGCGATCGGCGTCTGTCTGTCCACGGTCGGCGTCCATAACTCACGGTGTATTCCGTTTCTCGTATCTCGGGACATTAATTGCCCATTTTACCTCTCTTAAACGTATTTTTAGGCTATAGATTAATTATATCTGGCCTCCCTCTCCTCTATAGTACATTTAACTATATATACATTTTAATTTCCCCCTTTTGTTTGTGATTAAATTACTTAAATTGTGATCTAGTGCTTTCAGACTCTTCAAACCTCAAGACAGTGTGTGCGCGTCCGTGTATTACTTCTAGACTTTCCGTACGTTTTCACCGTGACTTCCGCGTATTAGTGAGCTCTTTGTGATTATGAACTTGGGTGCGTTGCGTACTCCAAAATTCTACAAAACAGAAGCACTCGGTCTAAGGACTCCGCCATCCGCCATCGTTCCACCATAGACGACGCCGCTGCCATACTCTCCACCTTTGGACAATTGGACTCAAGGTACAACCTTAAAGTTTTGTGTGTGTTTTAATTAGACTCTAAAACTAATCTCATTTGCCTCTCACAAGACATTTTATTCCATCTCGGGACCTCAGTGCCCTTCAAATTGCAGATTCGCCATTTTTCTCTAATTTAATTATTATTCTCTTGAACTATTAATTAGTTCTGGTCCTTCGAGTTATTAATTATTTTCATTTTCACCCATTACGCCCCCAACAATTACATTTGCTAGCATATGTAATCTTTGGTTTTATCTATGGTAGAAGTCTTGGGTTCGTTCTCAGATGTTTTTCTCAGAAATCAAGCCATGCTGTGCGGATGACATCAATATGTTACAGTGTTTGGACGAGTTCCAGAAGCCTTCGACCCGTTGATTCTATGCGTAGAAGGGCTGTAATGCTGTAATGTTGCTCTGTGTACGTATCCTTGTATTGGCCGCCTCGTGAGGAAGTGGTCGCGGTCTACAACCACTAGTCACCAGACTTCGCATATTGTGTGTTACTTTCATCTCACTTGAGGTTGTGAATCAGCAGCTGCGAAACCAGTTGTTACAGAAACCTCTCACTTTTTCAGAGTTTCAAAATGCAATCTTTACTGTAAAACAGTTGCAAATATGGAGATCAAATTACAATTATGTTAACCTCTTTACAATATCCTCCTAATCCAAAAATGGCTGTTTTTGCTGCGGTATGACGAAAATTAAATTAAAAACTATAAAACTATCAAACATTTCTTGCATACATACAGTATCACAAAAATGGACGTAACATATTGTAATTATACAAAGCCAAAAATGTTTTTCATTTTCGTATGCAACTCCTAATTATACAGTACTCTTTTAATGTGTTTGTCTTCTTTGCTTGATTTTTTTTTTCTTTATGAAGTATTTGTCGTTTTGGCAATGATTATATTAAACGACAATACAACTTTTTGCTTCAACACTCAGTATTGTCATGTAAATAGTTGATGAATACTTTGTAGTTCCTAAGAGTAGTTTTTACTTTCGTCATTTCTACAATCGTTTGAGCATTAAGATAACCAATAACCACAGAGACTAGGGAACAAGGGTTTACCTAGTTTGTGCAATAACGTATGTGGTGTGTCGCAGGTCTCAGTCTTTCTGATGCGAGGACCGTACAATGTTATTGAGATCATCGGGGAGGTTTCCATAGTTTACACGGCAAGACTTTTTCCATCAGACACTATAACACGTTTGTAAGGAATAGTGGTCCAGACAAAATTCACCAATCTAATTTTCCACAGTCACCCTCGCAGGGCAAAGTTACGCAATACCGCGACCTCACGCCGCTACCTCGGCTTTGCTGTCTTGTTCAGTTGTGCTATTGTTAGGCAATACTCCATTGTTTTGGTGTGCCTCAGGGATCTCAACTCACTTTGGTTTTGTTTTCGTCTCGCTTCTAGGATTACATGGCTTGCTTAATTCAACCCCCGCCATTCACAGCCGTAACCGACTTACCCAGTACACATCGGTAAACACTTGGATTTTATTACCAATCCATTCAAAAGTTGACAGAAAAATTGTCATTTTGACTTTCTCCCTCATACATATTATATGGAGAAAGTATTGTTTTCGTATTTTTTTTTAGTTTGAGTTTTGAGTGGATATATCCGTTTTGGGTCCCCCTGAACGCAAAATAAGTCGTTTTCGAAGTGATGTCTCTGTGTGTGAGTCCATCTATGGATGTGTACAGAGCTACAGACCACACCTGTTGTTCGATTTTGATGAAATTTGGTATGTAGGTACTAATCCATAGTTTATACAGGCGTTTTTCATTTTTTCAAAATTTGGATTTTAAGGGTAATTTTCCCATAAAAACCATAAAATAACTGAAAAATATGATTTTCTAAAAAATAACCCGTGCGATTTTGAAAAAAAATTAGTATGTTATAATCTTTTAAATTTAGAACTAAATGGTACAAATCCCATTTCCGTAAAAAATACGGTTTTGTTATTTTCTCATAAAATAAAAAATTACGGGTTTTAGGAAAAAAGCTGGTGTTGATTAAAATTAATGTGTTATGGTACTTATAATTCTAAACAAAATAGTGCAACACAATTGTGACACAATTGCTGTAACAATTATGGTTCAAAAGTTATTGCAACTTTTGTGATTTTTCCTTACAAAAAAATATCATAGTTACTCCCACCGCTTATCCATGATAAAGGTTGTTGACAAGTTTGTGGGAGAAAGTATGTTTCAGATTGCTGATACCGTTTATTACTTCTTTGTTATCAAAAATAATTAGACTATGCTTGCAGGCTTTTTAGCGGAAGTCACTTGAAGTTGAAGTTGTGAAATTCATTTAATTGTACAAGAAGGAATAAAAATTAGAAAATACGTTTTAGCGTCTAAATAGAACATCATTGTCTTTTAGTTAAATGTCTATAAAGTATATTAGCTCGTCCAAGTACGCTTTTGTACTGTAGTATGTAGATCTAAGGCTGTAACTCTTTGGTAGAAATAACTTAATCCTGTTCGTAATCCCTTTGTAAACCAATCAACAATATTTTTTTATATTTAAGATGGTAGGCTATTTTTTTCCAATTCAGTTACTTTACACATACAAGTTAAAACATATAATATATACCTTTGTCCATAAATCACTGAGTTGCTATAGAAGGAACATCAAAAAAATGTTATCCTATGTTATAGCCTTATATGTTTTTGGAGTTGTGTTATAGTTATATAGTATTATTGATGAACTTTGTGTGTTTGATGACAGCCGGCGCAAGTGTCACTGCTACGACGGTGGACATCGCTGGAGGCGATGGGTGACGTCACTACAGACCTGGACTGTACCCACCGTGTCACCATGTCCACCACGGACGACGTCGACCATCGACTTCCTTCCCCTGAGGAGCAGGTCCACGCCATCGCGCTCAAGTAAGCTAAACAGCATTCGTTATGTTGTACAACATACTTCGCTTACAACAATACACTATAAACACTCACCTTACATGCTGGTTAGGGTAGTAGAGACATGGGATGTCAAAGAACCTCTACATGTTAAGATAAAAATAATTTTCACTACGTTTTAATCAAATATTCAAAATTATTCTTGACAATATAATATACCGGGTGTCCGAAAAAGAACTCCGTAGTCTTAAAAATACCTCACGATAGTATTAGAATAAATGGATGAGTAATAATCCTTTGGTGCTGTAGAGTATACTTAAAAGTTTTATTTTGGAACATTAGCAATAAATTTGTTACACCTTTTTGACCTTGAGCGTAGTTATTATAGTAAATAATAATAATAATAAAATAATGATAAAAATTAGTAAAAATTGATTGGATATCTGCAGGGCTACAAATGGTTCGCATATCGAGGTGTACTAGTGTTAAAAAAATGGTTACTTCATTACCTTTCATTTTAATTTAATGTATCAGCTATTGTAATTTGTATATTGTACAATAAATAAATAATTTTTAAAACTAGGGAGTTATTTTTTGGACATCTCGTATAATAAAACAATTTATATAAAAATTTAGATTTGGAAATTGGAAAAATGTGTATTGGGGAAGCAGTCAGAGCAGCCTTCTAAGCCTAATATAATATGTCTCTGCACTCGATGAAGAAATGGATGTAAGCAGCAGTAAATAGGATGGATGGTAACAAAAATAACTAAGTTTTATCAGGCTGGATAACCTTTTTTTGTTTAGATAATGTTTAAAACATATACTTTTTGTTTGGGATCTTAAAAGCTAGATAAAATAAATAATTGTCTATAAAATAATAATCTCACTTCAGGTGATTTTTGTCAACTGCAAAAGTTTTTGTATGAGATATAATTCTGAGGATCAACAACAAACAAAAACTATCAAGAACATTGTTAAGAACAACATAACATTTTCAGTATATTTAGGAGTATTTAAAGTACTAAACTGCAATATATAATGTGTATACTGGAATCTCTGCACTTTGACATACTAAACTGATGGTTGGTGCACCCAGGTTCCCGTCGGAGATGGTGACGGTGGATGTAAGCGGTCGCAGTTTCAGTCGAATGTCTCATCTGCGCCGCTCACTGGTGCATGTACCTGGCGAAGACACCAGGAGGAGGTCTCGGCGCAGACCACGAGGCAAACGGCGCAACACCATCGCAGGCGTCGACACCAAGGAACTCGCTCAGGCTTGCGGGTATGTTTCAACCACATAAATATCACTAAAAGACATTTATGTTCTAATATAGGTTGCTGTACAGCTCTTTGAAAAACCTAAAACTTATCATTACTGCAAGAAAATTATAATGCACATCTAATGAAAACATGATACCTTTATCCTCTATACTTTAGGCATTAGTGATTTGATTTAAATGTTTGACTACTGTATTACCTTTGAATATTGATAAAACTAGACATTACATCTCCATGTTAAAGTTGTCGCCAGTTTTAAAATCAAAATTGTCATAGTTGTTTCTGAGGATCAACAGCAACACAAAACTATCAAGAATATTGTTAAGAACAGCATAACATTTTCAGTATGTTTAGGAGTATTCAATATTTAAAGTGTAAAACTTCAAACTTCAGTATATATACTGGAATCTCTCCACTTTGACATACCGAGTGAGCCACCGACAGTTTGTTCTGATGTAAATTACTGACATCTGTCAAATACACAAATAAGTTTTTTACCAAGTCAAATTGATAGACCGACTTATTGTGAGCTATAGAAACTGTTTCTTATGACCCACTAACTATGTCAGCAACAAAAGATAAGTTAGAAAATCAAATTTTAGAGACTGGCTCACTCAACTATGTTCTAATCCTTAATCCATATAGATGGAATGTCTACATCAGTGTTTAGTAGCCAATGCTACATAAGAAAGAGAAAATGTTCAAATCTGATCATGTACAATTTTGAAGCAATCCAGTTTACTTTTGGGCTTGAATTCATGTCATACTAGATGCTAAAGGTTGATAACATTGAAAAGTTTCTCTTACTTGGGCTTATATTCATGTCATACCAGATGCTAAAGGTTGACAAAATTGAAAAGTTTCTCTTACTTGGGCTTATATTCATGTCATACCAGATGCTAAAGGTTGACAAAATTGAAAAGTTTCTGTTACCTTCTGACTATGTCTGAACAGTTACCTTCTGTTCTTCACAAATGACAAGTTAAGGTATGCATGCTTAGGAAAGAATTAACATGATTGAGTTTATTCATTTATCTAGTTTAATCCTCAACACTTACATTACAAAAATGATTAATTGCTAAATTATTATTGTCTTAAACGCTTCTATTAAATTGTACTGCAGTAGTCTTGAAACTGTTAACTTATGTTATAAAATAAATTTGGAAAACTCTATAAAAGAAATACAAAATACTACCACTGACTTAATAACCATTGCAGAAAGCAAGTTGAAGCTTTTTAACCGACTTCCCCACTACCAACAAAAGGAGGAGGTTCTCAATTTGTTTGTGGCGATGTTTTTTTTTTTCTATGTATGTTCACCAATTTCTCTGTGATTCTTTTACCGATCAGTGTGGTTCCACCGCCAAAATAACCAGGAGAGTTTCTATTAGGTACCTTATATATTATGTTTAAGTATAATATTTGTTTCGGTGAAAAATTCTGAAAACCTTAAATATTCAACATTTATTTTGTTTACATTTGTGCAGATTGTTTACATTTGTGCAGAGAAGGCAATAAATAATAATAACATTCCTACAGCTGTTAGTTGAAACCATTTAAATGAAGCTACAGACAACAGTTGCTTCATATTGATCAATAAACTATCTCTTGCCATGGAGCCTAAATGAATTACATTGAGAAAAATGCATTTTGTTTTGGTTACTATAAAACATGTATTTTAACGTTTGACCTGATTTGTGTATACAGTAATTCTGTTTTTAGTATTGAATATTCTGACTTACAAAAACATATATGTTTCAGTGAATAGCTGTATGATATTGACAAATAAAGGTGTATTGTGAAAACCGAAGTATTCGTAAAACAGGTCTAAATATAAATTAAATGCAATTATTCCTTACACGACCTTAGAAGTGTGACAGTGCATAATCGTCAATTGTCTTAAAAGTGTTAAATATTTTAATTACTAAACATGCATTTGCAGGTGTGGAATGTTTATTGATATTCTCTACCCAGTTACTATATCATATCAATACCATTATGCCTGCTTCGGAAAGTCCTAGAGGAAGATGATTTGCAATCTCGACTAGGCTATATCTTGATCAAACAAAACCACCTACATGGCTTGCACCACTTTTAGCTGAACCAATCTTTCATATACATATTTCATTTGCAGATGTGGAATGTTTATTAATATTCTCTACCCAGTTACTATAACATATCAATACTATTATGCCTGCTTCGGAAAGTCCTAGAGGAAGATGATTTGCAATTTCGACTAGGCTATATCTTGAGCAAACAACACCCCCTACACGACTTACACTACTTTTAGCTGAACCAATCTTTCATATAATATTTTCCAAAGGTACTATACGTGTTAACGACCAATTTTCCTCTTTTGAGAGATTTTTTAGTGCTGGTAGCTGAGGAATAACTTTCATATTGTTCCAAAAGGCTTGAGACGTTACTGTATTTCTTTTTATAATGTAGAAGTACACCGATTGCAGGAAAAGATTATGTCTGACATTTTAATGTATCTAGAAAAGACAATTAGTTTTTCATTAGACCTAATGTAATGGACAACTCTTTCTTTCTTAGGGAATATCTAAAAATGTTTATTTTCATACCCATTGATTATGTAACCCGAACAGGTGACTCAAGCAGTTTTAAAATAATGATTGTTCTGTGGAACTTTTGATTGTTTCAAACAGTTTTGCTTCTCAAATAACCTCAAGTAATTAATATATAAAAAATTGTACAGTCACTAAAAATCATGAAATAATTTATTTTTGTAAAAAAATACAACCGGCTTCAAACGCTCTAAAAAGAATGAAATAATTTCAATAAAGTAAACTTTTGTATTAGGCAAGCTCACGTATTTCAAGTCGGGGCTCAAACTGCAAATATGATTGAAATTAAATATTGTGTGTGTATGAATAACATAAATATATAAAAAACACACTGAACTGTTTTGTTTATATATTAAAGGAAATATTTTCTTGTATTTTATGTTTACTTCAGAATAAATGCATTATGAAAATAACACACACAAATGTTGTATATGAATAGGAAAATAATTTAGTTTGATATTATGATAGGGAAAAGAAGCTAGTTTAGTATTAAAACGTTACTTTTCCAAGTTAGAAACATTTAAATGCGTTATAATCCTTTTAAAGATACTCATTAATACCACTATAATGCTGATCTCTGATTACGGTAATAAAATAACACTTAACCCATAACTATGAAAAAGACATGCAGATTAACACCTTTAGTTATGGATAGTCACCTGCAATATGGACACCCTCTTTCAATTTTGTATCAAAAATCATCATACAGCCGCGCCGACTTAAAATACGTGAGCTTGCCTAATACAAAAGTTTACTTTATTGAAATTATTTCATTCTTTTTAGAGCGTTTGAAGTCGGTTGTATTTTTTTACAAAAATAAATTATTACACTTATGGTTTTGGTGAATTGGCACAAAAACAGGAAGCTTATTGTCTTGTAATCTGATACAAACACACAACCATACAACCAATGTTTAGTCACGGTTGTCGTCATTTTACCAGGAATGTGAATGTGAGGTCAGAGTGTTAAATGTTGAATGTTTCTCAGAACACTGAATGTTGTATCAATCAGCTGACTAAAGTAGAAACTGAATCCAACCACCCAACTACTGTTTGGTGGCAATGGTCTCAGTCGTCAGATGTGTACAGGTTATTGTTAGTTACTGATGCCAATGCTATAGGCTAGCTAATCTTGGCTTTTCCTATCTATATAAAATAATATCGAGTTTTACTGATTTTAGCGAATTTCCCTATATAGGGAATAAGCTATTACCGGAGTACTCATGGGAAGACCTGGACCCGGGACCGAATTACTTTTTAGTTCTGAGGTCCCCAGTGGCCAAAAACACCATCCGTTCAAATTCATACATATATATATGTCCGTTAGCGCGATAACTCGCAAAAATTATTTGATTTTGATGAAATTTGGTAGAAACATGTAAACCTACGTAGGCCTATATTCTAACGAGTTCGCGAACCAGCATGATCGGACTATGGGAATGGGGGTTAATGGGGTAAAAATTGGGTTTTCCCATTTTTGACTAAAAACATAAAATTTCACAATTTCTTTCCAGACCATTTTGTAGAGCTTAAAAAGAGAAATAAATTTGTTTATTGAAGCGTTGTTGTATGCCTAATGGTTACGGAGATGATTGAATAAACTTTAAATGTAAAATTCCCATGTTATTCTTATGGAGAATAAACTGTTGTAGTTTGCTTGTTTAAGGATATATTATAATCAAATTTGGCAATTTTGTTTATTTCATACTAAGATATCAACATTTCAATAAAACCACACTTCAATACCTTCCCAGTAGCAGCAAACCTAGGTACTCATTTAAATTATTATTATTTAAATAAGAAATCAATCTGAAAAAAATTCAGGGAATGTTTTAGTAGAAATCCAGCCAGGTAAATGGAAATTCCCTTATTCTGTAGGTTTTCTGTGGTGGGGCTATTTTTACATGTATTTTTCTCGGTTTGTTAACATGTGCTAATAAGAATGCAGTAAATGAAAGTAGTTGTGATACCTAATTATAAACCAGAAAGCTACTACAGAGCAATATCAGCGATCCAATTTACTTGGGTAAGGGTTAATTTACATACAAAAAGTTTCACTTACGTTTTGCTATATTCTATTACTGTTACATTAAGATTTCCAATTTATTAGAAAAAGCAATAAATAATTTAAAGTTATAAGGGGACTTTTTTCCCATACCTAAACAAATTTTTGAGCTAAACAAAAACCAAATTAAGCTTTTTTGAGTTTCATATTTTGGAAAATCTGAACAATTTGGCACCGGTGCACGAGGAAAGTGTTCATTACCAAGATGTGTGCAGATAGAAACATTAATAGTATTTGTGAATCCTCAAACAGTTTAAAAATAATACAATAAATGCTTCCATGATAAATGGTTATGTTTCTATAAAAAATATTCCTGTCAAGAATTTACTCAACCATTTTGGCCTTGCAGAGACTCATCAGAGGGTAACTTTGGAGCGACTCCCGAGCCAGAGCCGAGCCTGGGAGAGAAGAAGTCTCGTGTGGAGTCTCTGAAGGAGTGGGGCATGAGGCTACTGCGGACTAGTGAGCCTGTGGTGAAGCTACGACGAGAGGCGACACGGCGCAAGTGGGACAAGGAGGAACCAACACCTCACTCCAGCAGTGGCAACTGGAGTGCTTCCTCAGACAATGGCTCTACTGCCACGTCTCACCATCCCAGGTACACAACAGCACTAATAAACAACAACAAACTCCTCTTCTACATTACCTCACTCCAGCAGTGGCAACTAGAGTGCTTCCTCAGACAATGGCTCTACTGCCACGTCTCACCATCCCAGGTACACAACAGCACTAATAAACAACAACAAACTCCTCTTCTACATTACCTCACTCCAGCAGTGGCAACTGGAGTGCTTCCTCAGACAATGGCTCTACTGCCACGTCTCACCATCCCAGGTACACAACAGCACTAATAAACAACAACAAACTCCTCTTCTACATTACCTCACTCCAGCAGTGGCAACTGGAGTGCTTCCTCAGACAATGGCTCTACTGCCACCTCTCACCATCCCAGGTACACAACAGCACTAACAAACAACAACAAACTCCTCTTCTACATTACCTCACTCCAGCAGTGGCAACTGGAGTGCTTCCTCAGACAATGGCTCTACTGCCACCTCTCACCATCCCAGGTACACAACAACACTGACAAACAACAACAGACTCCTCTTCTACATTACCTCACTCCAAAACACCTGGGCTGCATTGTCCCTACTTATTGCCTATCTCAGGTAACTGAGATGTCAGTTATAACTCGTTGTAATTTTATTTCACAATCACAATAATACTGTGTCAAGTTAAATTAATGTTTAATGTGTGCTTGTGAATTGTTTTGATTCTGTTAAATAATACTTTGTGTTTACTGATTGTGTCCTAACAAACACACTATGTGTTTTAACTAGTTGTTTAACCGATTCAGTAACAAAATTTATCTCTGTTGTTTTTAACATGCATAATTGTAATAACCTTTTGTGTTGTTATAATGGAGGAGTTTAAGAAATGCTAATCATAAAAGATAAACATGCACATTTTAAAAGAAGTAGGTTTTATTAAAATGAAATCTGTATAAAAATGTGCTTGAAAATTATGCATACTTTGTGTCAAAATATCTCTCGTCTGAGGATAAAGGTAACATTTAGAGTCATTTTGTAAGAACAGAAAAGAGTTTTTGATTACAATTTTAGTTACAAGAATAGTGTATGAGTAATAAAACAATGTTATAGGTCAAGCATAAGCAGTGGCAGTACCTGTCAGAAGCATGGCCGCCGAGGAACAATAATGGTTTCAACTTCTTCTTCCGTTACAAGTGAAAGTACCCTGACACCAGACGATGGGGAGACTTGTTCCATGTATTCTTGTGACACTGAAGGTTACTACACCAGCTTCCACTTGGACTCAGGGCTCAAAACTCTTAGAGAAGAAGAGCCTCTACCAGCATTGCATTCAATGTCAGCTTTGTCCGGTAGCAGGGGCAATGGATCTACACTTACGGCTGATTCAGAGTATGAACTCTTTGGTAAAGGATCTACATCTACGACAGCGAGCTCTGCTGGTACAGTGTGTACCACTCTGCTGCACCCTCAGGCAGCTCCGAGTGTTCCTGAGAGAGTCAACAGCCAGCTGTCTGCGTCCTTGCCTGAGAGAGGAGTCAAGGCACTGCACAGTTTGAGCTCTAAAGATCCAAACGTCAAAGAAACGTCGAGCTTAAAAATAGAAAAGAAAAATTACATTAAGGTTGATTTCAAGAAACTTCAAGAACATAAATCAAACCTTACAAAAGAGAATGTGGCAAAGTTGAAACAGGTAGATGAGAAGAAAGGTATGATAACAGTTGAAGTGCACCACAACGGTGATAGTGAACTAGGACCTGAGAAATGTGGAGACTCTCCAGACTCTGGTCATAATACCTGTAGTTCTCCAGTGGACTCCATCACTAGCCCATCAATTGACTTGGAGATGTCAGAATGCTCAGATTTAGAAGGTATTGACAGGGTGGAGAGGATACGAGTTAAAACCACAATAAATTCAAGTAGAATCCCTTCAATGTGTGTGATCACACCACCTGTGAGTGATGATGAGGTGAGTTTGAATGCCCTAAGAGGACCAGTGGACATGGGTGATTACGTCACAATATCAGATGTCAAGACTCCAGACACTGTTTCTCCGATACTGACTAGAGAAACAGAGTATGTGTCCCTGAATGAATTACCTCCAAACGATTCTCTTGAGCGGAAAAGAAGGCAAGGTGCCAGAGTGACATTGGATTCTGAAGGAAAAGTTGTCTATTCTTCAGACAGTCTCAGGAGAAGAAAAGCCATTCACACAACTCAAACATTCGAACCTGGTCCAAACGTCAATAAGGTCTCAAGTCCTGTAATGCCAAGAGTAGCCAATGTCAGACCAGTTATCACTAGTGAGAGAAGAGCTCAATCATCATCCCCCACGAGGATCATATCTCCCACCTCGACTTTGACCAGGCAAAGATCACAATCACCAGGTGTTTCCATTGGAAATACAAAACAGCAAGCGGATTCAGTCAATTTATCTAGTCAAACAGATTTTAATAGAAAACCATTATCTCCTGTTTCTTCAAATAGGCCAATATCTCCACTAGTGTCGGCATCCAACCAGAGGAATTCCTTGGTAAAAAGTAGAAGTCAACAATATTTTCCAAAATCTTCATATGGAAGCTTGTCCCCAACAAAGCCAATGTCACCATTGGTTTCTTCAGCCAATCAAAAATCACCAAATGAGAGAGATAACTCCAGACCACTGTCTCCCTCAGCGGTTTATCCGAGCCACAGATCAATGTCACCGAAGGCCGTTGTTCGAGCTAAGCAAGTAACCAAAGCGGTCAGCCCCATTACACAAAGGGGAGCCTATGTCAAAGTACAAGAGGAGCACGATGGTGTTGAAGATGATCTTAAAAACATCGTGAAGAGGAGTGATAGTTATCGAATGGCAAACAATGATACAAAATCACCAATCAGTACCAACAGAAAGCAGTTAGGTGTAAACGTAATGGCAGGTCCAAACCTGCTCACAGCAATACAGACTGCTCGGCCAAGCAAAGGTAATATCATCACTAAGTACGATAAAACTGATATTTGGTAGCGTCGCACTGTGTTGTAGTTTTTAAATAGCTTTTTGTGTAAATTTGTTATTCCGTCCATATTCTTACATAGATTTTGAGTTTTAGATGCCTTTAGATCCAGTTAACTCTGTTTTAGTGAATTTAGTTTTGATTATTTAAGAATAAAATAGAATTTTACTTTAAAGAGGCTTGTATTTTCCAGTAGAAAATTGGCCTGAACCTAATCATAGTTGACTTCAAATTACCTACACCTCTATCTGAACTAAGGACGAAGAGACAGAAAATTTTCCTTAACAGCGGAACTGTAGATTCAATTTTTTTTACACCGTATATTAAATATCCTATCCTGCAATTTTAAGTGTCAGGTTCTTGTCAATCTGTAGTTTTTGACGGATAAAAAGTTTACTAATCCTTGTGTAAATTAATATATTTGTTGATTTTGTTCATCCTATTTTGTATGGATATAGGCCTACTTACTTGTTCAGAATTACTCATTTTACTTGTTTCCTGAATTACATTTCAATGTAAAGCTGTGATTTTACACTACCAGTTAGGGCTGTAATTTGTTGGGTTTCTTAGAATGTTAGTAATGTTTTTCATTAATTAATAACTTAAAATTTTACTGAGGAAACATTGCATGTTTATTTTTTGTGTAGATTCGCATCACTGGGAAATTGAAAAAAAAAACTTGGTTTTACATTAATCCACAAAACATAAAATTATGATTAAAGTTAAATATAGTATTATTTTTTAAATTTCAATTAATTGATGTAGTGTCAACTATTATTAGTAGGCTAGGTCTTTTTACTATGTAGATGAAAGTACACGATATGTATTTGATTTGTCGAACATCACTGTTAAATCACCCTTATGTAAATTGAGAGTCCTATTTTATATCTTACTTACATTTTTGTTATTGTTTTATCACATTTCTGACTGAGTATTTGCCTTTTTTGAAAGAAAAAGTGCATCATGCTTTATACAATTTTGTTCCTCACGAAGTCTTAGCTACAATTGATTATTCAATTATGCTATTTATGAACAGACTGATTTCTAACTGATGTTTGCTCATAGTTGTGTCATTAGTTAGATTGTACATGTAACTTTTATCTGTAAGCCTTAAGACGGTGACACACTATCGATCTTTTCCCCGAACAAGACCCCGAACCGAGCAGGGAGAAGGGAGAAGGGAGGTCGAAGGGAGGATGTTCGATAGTGTGTCACGGGTCCGTACACCGATCAAGACGCCGAACAAGACATCAGGCCGAGCAGGGAGACGAGCGCTCTGGAGGCGGTTTTTTGGCGAAAGATCAAAGAAAAGATCGGTCCGATGTACGGTCCGATGTACGATAGTGTGTCACGGTACATTTTTGCCCCGTACATCGTCGCGAGCGCCGCACCGAGCGGCCGCCTGCGCTAGCATTGATAGTTCTGATTTAATATGGCAATTAAACTCTTTAATTGGTAAAATAAATAAATGTTGGGTAATATGTTGCCGTTATATATTATAATCATTTAAGATGTAATGTTTGTGGTTTGTTTGGTCAAGGTTGAAAGTGTAGAAACCGTTAAATCAATTATATCAATAATATTAAGGTTGAATTAAGTAATTGATGTTGACTTAAATTCTTTCAAAAATAATATAAACATTAATATTATTAAAGGCAATTAAAATGATCATTCTGTAACGTTATTTCAATGAATAAAACCAATAGAAATCAATAGATATAACTAAGCATCCTTTCTAGAATATTTTATTTTTGCGACAAGTTTTCAAAATGCGACTTTTAACAATAATTTTTATGTTATAGAAACTTTTTGGCTTTGGCTTTTTGACTCTTTTCCCTCTTCCACGGCACTGTCTCCGCGCTCTCACTCGCACACACTCTCTATCTCTCTCCAAACTTCCTTTTGCCGCGCTCGGTAGAATTCGTCTGGTCTTGGTCATGTTCGGGGAAATGTTCGGAGTAAAATTTTGCTGATATTTATCTCCCTTCTCCCTTCTCCCTGCTCGGTTCGGGGTCTTGATCGGGGAAAAGATCGATAGTGTGTCACCGCCTTTAGTCTGTGTGTTGATTCTGATATGCATGGTTTGTTTTGCACATCCGGCACCTGCTTGACTATGTTCCACAATGCAAAATATCTGAAATTTTTTTTCATAAAAATTGGCTTAGGTGCCACATATTTCATTTTTACATTTATGAGTCACTTAGAAATACATTTTGAAAATTTGTCTGATTTTATGATCAAATAAATACATTTATGTCAAACTTGATTATTTTAAGAGTTGGTATATTTTATTACCATTACTAATTGAGATGGGGACGCAATGGGGTCTATTTTAACCTAATATTATATTATAGGCCTAGTTGCCCTATAATCAATATTACATTCACCGGATTACTTTCAACCACCAAATAATAAACTATTTTTTTTATTTTGATATATTTGAAACATTTGTTGAAACTAACAAAAACCATCCGTCTGTATAAAAAAGGAAAATATTGGATATTGACGATGTTCATACAAAGTCCCTATGAATAAATTCTAAACTAGTTTTTACCTTTCAAATGGGTGTGTAATGTCAAACAGGATTTGTATAGATATAGTTTTTCTCAATTATTTACATGAATTTCCATGTCTATACATCACTATAAGGGCATTGTTCAAAGTTGTTTTTTCAAAAAACTTATTTGTTATTAATATTTTCTAATGATACTTTTATATTTTATTGTTGCTAGTAATAATATTCTTTTGTGATATTTGATATATAAGTTAGGTTTTCCTCATGTTGCAATATGTATAGTGTGTATATGAATGAGAGCATGGGTTTTCTTTGTAGTTCACTTGTCTTTTTGCTTTCTCCAATTGTACATATTTCCTTCTTTGGGTTTCTAACATTTAAGTTAGGCTGATTTTGCTTTGGTGTGGCTCCTAAAAATATATATGTTTTAAAACTAACTTTGATTAAAATTAAAATTACATTTTCCTAACTCTTACTAATTGACAACTAAAAAAGTACCAAAAGTACTCCAAATGTATGTTTTTAATTGAAATTTAATTATAAAATTCAACAACCTTTACATTAAGTGCTAATTGGTTTTGGAATAAATTAACTGTTGGTGGATATTAACTACCGGTACATTTGGTGTTACATCTTCAAAATGTGATAGCTTATGTTTAAACAGATACAAATTAGTCACCCACAACCACAACTGACTGGGAGAATCCTCTTAGTTTTTTTGAGTTATTTAAATACAAATTATTTTGTACAAAATCCAAGGGTAAACATTGTTATCTATAAAAGATTGCCTTGAAGAAGAAAGCAAATGGACAGGTGTTTCTTGGATGATATGGATATTTTATATTTTGTATATATTTTTCTAAGTTGATTTTTTATCTCTGAAATATATTACACTTTACAATAAATCCCTTTGTTTCCCAAGCATTCAATTACCTTGTGTTCACGTTAGGATCTGGCAAGATATAAAGTGTTTATGATAACAGGGGTTTCATCAGTAGATTCTATTATTTAAGTATAAAATAGACAAACTAAAAAAAAAATATTTGTAGTACCTATAGAGCATAAATACATTTATGTAGTAAATAGTAATGTTCAAATTTAAATGACAATTGTTTTTTGAAAGGTTAATTTTTCCTTTGTATCAAAACAGAAAACAATAATGCAAATTGGTCTTAGCATAACTTTTCATAAATTCTGATTTTAGTAAAGTTTTCAAAGTATTTCCTACAAACCAATATTTTACAGTCATTATATTATTCTACTTGTTATGTAACTTAACATGGTGGTTTCTGGGGGACATGGTTTGGCACTGATCTGCTTAGGAGGATTGATATTTTATTACCAGATTAAGAAGCCAAAAAAGGTAAACATAATCCCTGTCACCTGAGCTTGATGAGTTATTATAATCTACTGATTGCTGGGGTGCTTTGGACAGATTAGGCTTCCTCACCAGATTTAGTTTCTGGTTTGAATTTCAGAATAAAACAATGGGACTTTTCAAACATTGGCCTGATATATCATTATGTAACTTGAAGCAGGGTGTCTAGTAGTCGGGAAAATCGGGAAAGTCGGGAATTAGTATTGAATTAAAAAATGGTCTTGAAAGTCGGGATTTAGTCTTAAATTTGATTTCAAAGTCGGGAATTTTCATGATTTTGCCGCGATCGTCGTCTTGGGTTTACGTAACCGCGAATGATGTCTACAAGGCCTCGGGAAATGTTCACGATTTTGCCGCGATAGTGGACGACGACGATGACGTTTCTGAAACCACGGGAGACGACGATGACGTTTCTGTGACAGCGGGAGACTACGATGACGTTTCCGTGACCGCGGGAGATGACGATGACGTTTCCGTGACCGCGGGAGATGACGTTGATGTTTCCACGGGCGAGGGAAATGTTCTCATGATTTTGCCACGATCGCGGAGGACAACGATAACGTTTCCGTGACCGCGGGAGATGACGGTGATGTCTAAACAGCCGCGGGAAATTTTCATGATTTTGCCACGATCTCGGACGACGACGATGACGTTTCCGTGACCGCGGGAGACGACGATGACGTTTCCGTGACCGCGGGAGACGACGATGACGTTTCCGTGACCGCGGGAGACGACGACGCCGCGGGAAATGTTCATGATTTTGCCACGATCGCGGATGATGATGACGTTTCCGTGACCGCGGGAGACGACGATGATATCTGCTCGGTCGCGGGAAATGTTCATGATTTTGTCGCGATCGCGGGAGATGACGATGACGTTTCCGTGACCGTGGGAGACGACAATGACGTTTCCGTGACAGCGGGAGACGACGATGGTATCTGCTCGGCCGCGGGAAATGTTCATGATTTTGCCGCGATCGCGGACGACGACGATGACGCGTACGTGACCGCGGGAGATGACGATGACGTTTCCGTGATCGCGGGAGATGACGATGACGTTTCCGTGACCGCGGGAGACGACGATGACGTTTCCGTGACCGCGGGAGACGACGATGATATCTGCTCGGCCGCGGGAAATGTTCATGATTTTGTCGCGATCGCGGACGACGACGATGATGTTTCCGTGACCGCGGGAGACGACGATGATGTCTACACGGCTGCGGGAAATGTTCATGATTTTGCCGTGATTGCGGACGTCGACGATAACGTTTCCGTGACCGCGGGAGATGACGGTGATGTCTAAACAGCCGCGGGAAATGTTCATGATTTTGCCGCGATCGCGGATGATGATGACGTTTCCGTGACCGCGGGAGACGACGATGATATCTGCTCGGTCGCGGGAAATGTTCATGATTTTGTCGCGATCGCGGGAGATGACGATGACGTTTCCGTGACCGTGGGAGACGACAATGACGTTTCCGTGACAGCGGGAGACGACGATGGTATCTGCTCGGCCGCGGGAAATGTTCATGATTTTGTCGCGATCGCGGACGACGACGATGATGTTTCCGTGACCGCGGGAGACGACGATGATGTCTACACGGCTGCGGAAAATGTTCATGATTTTGCCGTGATTGCGGACGTCGACGATAACGTTTCCGTGACCGCGGGAGATGACGGTGATGTCTAAACAGCCGCGGGAAATGTTCATGATTTTGCCGCGATCGCGGATGATGATGACGTTTCCGTGACCGCGGGAGACGACGATGATATCTGCTCGGTCGCGGGAAATGTTCATGATTTTGTCGCGATCGCGGGAGATGACGATGACGTTTCCGTGACCGCGGGAGATGACGATGACGTTTCCGTGATCGCGGGAGATGACGATGACGTTTCCGTGACCGCGGGAGATGACGATGACGTTTCCGTGATCGCGGGAGATGACGATGACGTTTCCGTGATCGCGGGAGATGACGATGACGTTTCCGTGACAGCGGGAGACGACGATGGTATCTGCTCGGCCGCGGGAAATGTTCATGATTTTGTCGCGATCGCGGGAGATGACGATGACGTTTCCGTGACCGCGGGAGATGACGATGACGTTTCCGTGACCGCGGGAGACGACGATGATATCTGCTCGGTCGCGGGAAATGTTCATGATTTTGTCGCGATCGCGGGAGATGACGATGACGTTTCCGTGACCGCGGGAGATGACGATGACGTTTCCGTGATCGCGGGAGATGACGATGACGTTTCCGTGACCGCGGGAGATGACGATGACGTTTCCGTGACCGCGGGAGATGACGATGACGTTTCCGTGATCGCGGGAGATGACGATGACGTTTCCGTGATCGCGGGAGATGACGATGACGTTTCCGTGACCGCGGGAGATGACGATGACGTTTCCGTGACCGTGGGAGACGACAATGACGTTTCCGTGACAGCGGGAGACGACGATGGTATCTGCTCGGCCGCGGGAAATGTTCATGATTTTGTCGCGATCGCGGACAACGACGATGATGTTTCCGTGACCGCGGGTGACGACGATGATGTCTACACGGCCGCGGGAAATGTTCATGATTTTGCCGTGATTGCGGACGTCGACGATAACGTTTCCGTGACCGCGGGAGATGAAGGTGATGTCTAAACAGCCGCGGGAATTGTTCATGATTTTGCCGCGATCACGGATGATGACGATGACGTTTCCGAGACCGCGGGAGACGACGATGATGTCATTGATGTCTACAAGGCCGCGGGAAATGTTCATGATTATGCCGTGATTGCAATGATGATGTCTAAACGTACGGTATGCGGAAGATTTCATGATAAAAAAACCAAATTTGCTGGTTAGAATTTTTTATTGCTGCATAATTTCTTTACTTGAAAACACCACATTATCATAATACTACTTTATGACAAAGACAGGGGTTGGTGTAGTATTATTTAGAAAATTTGTTTAAGCTATTAAAAGAATCGAGAATCGATACATTTTGGTATCAACACCCACTAATTGTTGAAAAAACTAGTCTTGAAAAATCTGGAATTAGTCTTGAAAAGTCTGGAATTAGTCTTGAATTTTATAATGGAAATAAACTAGACACCCTGTGAAAGTTATATGTCTAAAATAAAACAAACGTTAAAGGTTGTAGTTTGGGTTTTGGTTTTGTGATTGAAAAAGTTTCATAAGTGTAATATTCTGTTTTCAAACAAATCACTGCTCAAAATCTTATCAAATTTAGTAGTTTAATCAGTTTTTATATTGTAAATTGAAATCTTAATTACACTTTAGACTTATTACATACAAAATCCTCTTCTGTTTGATTGCATCAGAATTAGTCATTCATGATTTGTTTCCAAAATCAATACTGTAATCTGTTGTGAATTTGTGCAATGCTTAACTTATAGTTGCACAGCTTAGAAATTTGCACGGCTTGAGTGTTGCTTGCACTTAATGGTGGCTGTCTGTGTTATTAATATCAAGGTAAGTGCACTTAAGCAATGGTACTTATAAGTATAACTGTAAATGTTCTGCTTGGTTTCTGTGACTATAACAAAAGAATATACAACATTCAAACTATTGATTTTAATTTGGGATAAACTTTGATAAAGCTTTGAGATAAACTTTTAAACCTTTATTAACCTTTATTTTAATTATTCCACAACAAAGAATCAGCAGGGATGTGCTGTAGAATCAGTTTAGAATTTCTCTAGTTAAAGCAATACTGTTTTTGAAACATTAAACATTTTATTTTAATAGTCCCTATTCATTTGAATTTGCACAACTAAACACCACTATCATGCTAGACATGTAACTTCTTCAGTGGCGTACAAACCACTTTTATCCAAAATGAAATATATTAAATATCAACACTTTTTCATTACTTCTAAATATTGAATTAAAAAGTTACTCTCTATTAAAAAGTTACTCTCTAATGTTAGTTATAACACTAGTTGGAATTATTATATTATTCTATTCAGTTATTGCAATGACTTGAATGTTTCAGATGGCTCTTTGCCAGAGCAGAATGTTTCTACACCAGTAAAGCAGATGTCCACTGTCAGCCCTGCACGTTCACACCTGCTGAGCTCCACCCCCACCAAACCTAACACCAGCTCCAACCTAGATTTTAGCATGAACCTATCACCCATCAACACTCCTGTGTCATCCCAGCCGTCTCGCAATGCGATGGACCTCTACGCCATCATACACGAGTCCAAGAAGAAGATCATGAAGCTTCGTGAGCGCAACTGCTCTCCAACACTGACTGAAAAGATCTCCAAACTACAGTCTTCCGCGGTCCAGACGGCTCCAGCTAAGACACAGGAAGTCAATAGGCTGATGAACAGTAAAGCCAACATACCTATTAGCGACAACGTTTTCAAGATGAACTCCAACTCAAGAAGTTCAACTCCAGATAACTCTGTGAAACAAAGAATAAGTCCTATTATTAGTGAAAGATATTTGAGAGACCCTCGATCAAATGTTCCTGAAAATATTTATGCTGAAAGACTAATGAGAGCCTCGCCTAGTTCTAGAAGTTCTACTCCTGAAATGAGTCTCATAGAAAGGAATGCTAGGACTGCTCCTGGCTCAGGTAGTTCAACACCTGAAAAAAATTTCAGAGTTATTCCTGAAGGGCCAAACTGGCCCAAAGCCATTCCTGCTTCTCAAGTTCCTAACCTTAGAAAGTCCCCTTCTTCCTATGACTATTTAAATTTAAGTCCATCAGGTCATTACCAGAGGACCAGATCACCCTCCCCTCTGCTGGATGTTAACCAGTTTCCCAGCTACCCTGACTACAGATCTCTGCCTCGGATGTCTCATAGGAACTCTCCCACCCCTCAGAGTCCTGTCAGGCAACATGTCTTTGCCCCGAGAGATCCTCCCTCACAGGATGCTAGGATTTCCTCTCCTCAACATTCGTCTTTTGCTTCTGATCGACTTGGAAAAGTACAGCCCACTTCCCGAAACGATTTTAAGCAACTGCTTCTTCGAGCCAACTGGGGTACAACACCTTCAAGTGGATCTGCTGTTGAAAGATTAAAAAACCGAACGTCGCCAGTAAAACCAAAATCGTGGAAATCGGATATTCTCTCTTCGACAATCCCAGAAGATTGTCGAGAAGACGATGAACAATCCGATCGAAAAACTCTAGAGAATATGTCTGGAGAAAATAGATCACCAGGTTATAGTGGGGGAATTCCTAAATCCAGTGCCTTAGTGAATCAACAATGCAAAGCTTTTGATAACCACAGAGCAAGCCCAACGGATAAAAACAGAATTAGTCCGACATTAGAAACAGCATTATAGTTGGGCATGTAAATTATGTTAAAAATATTCAATAGAAATTTAAAATGTTTGAACCTATGGCAAAACTTTTTTTATGTCAAAAGCTTAAGTAAAATAGATTAAGAAAAGAAAGGCTGAATAGTATTTTAATTTTCAATAAATTGTTCAATACGTTGGTTTGGTACAATTCAATTCAACAATTATCATTAAAATAACGTTATATTTTTTGTGTTATGTTATTAGAATTGTAGGCTTTTTAAAGTTATAATATTTACTATGCATATAACCACTTTGCAAACAATTTGATTCCTAACCTCAATCCTATATTCAAAGCCAAAGTACTGACAAAAAATTTCTTATGACTAAGTATCCTAACATAGCATACAGACTACTGTATTTTCAAGTTATTTTATCAGTAGGATGATTTGAAAATAAATCTGTCAAAGTTTTTTTTTGTAGACTAAATCCTATAATCTGTCATTCCATTAAATCTTGATCGTATGATATTATTTAATCAAAGCTGAACTTTTGTATAAGATAACAGATTTCATAAACAAAGATTATTTTTAACTGTTAGTTTTACAAGTTATTATGATGTTGTAATACCTCTATCATTAAGTATTATTTATTGTGACGAGAGTAATATATTTATTATTAAATTTTATTGTATATCTTTTTGTATATTTTGTAAATATTACTTTTTTATTTCTATATACTATGTATATTATTACTTCTTGCAATGCCTTAGAATATAAATTAAAAATTACATTAAGGATGTAACGGTAAAGCTACGAGGGCCGTCCAGAGAGTAGCAGAGTTTAGTATTGGCACTGCTTAGAGCAGTGCATTCGCCGGCATCAGAGCGTTCCTAGGCTCATTACGCATCCGGCTACTAAAGCGTGCGCCATGGGCGTCCATCAATATGGGCAATGGGGGGCTTGAGCCAGGACAATGAGGAACTGTGCAGGAATTTTTCAATTGCACTGGGTAAAACCTGTTTAAGTCTGCGGTCACAGTGAAATTGTGATCGTTGTCCGTGGTCACAGCTAATATGTAAACTCCCTCTGCGATCACGGTAAAATCGAGATCATCATCCATGGTCTTTGCAAAATCATGCACATCTTCCAAGGTTAATGAAAAGTCTTGAACATCTTCTGCAGTAACGGGACATCCTCGTCTCCCATGATCACGGTAAAATAGTCAATTTTAGATTGTGAATCTTCATAAATGTTTTTCGGGGTCGCAGAAATTTGCGCTCAACTCGTTCCAAGCTTGGCCGGATGATAATTTTCTGTCCGTACAGATCTCTCGTGCCAACTGTTGGTCCGACCAGACTCAAAAATATGGAGTACCCGCAGACCCCGAGTAAAAGGTACACTTGGCAGCTAGAAATCATGCCTGGGATAACCAGGTTTTTCTTTCGGTAAATCTGGAAAAATTAATGAATTTTGTCTAGGAGTTCTGCCCACAATAACCACATCTTTTTGGATCGTTTGGTAAAAATGTAAAACTTAAAAGTCACACTATGTCATTGGACACAGTAGTACAGTATTAACATTCACATTTTTAAATATTGCAAAAAATATAAATCGACAAAGCAAATTCAGGTTTAAAAAAGCGTAAACATTAACATTAACATATTTATCTAATTTGTAATAATTTTCCAGGAGTAACCCTAGGACCGGGTGGGGTTTTTAAAACTAAAAAGGTTTTTTTTACTGGGATTGATTTTAACACGCCACTGCACACTGCAGACAAAGTAAGTGAGATATGATGTGCGTACTGAGTCAGAGTGTAGGAACGCTCTGATACTAAGGTAGTAGCAATATCACCATTCCTAGCAGCACTAATGCAAAACGTCTGTTACTTTCTGGATGCCCCTTGTATTTTGAAATAGGCTATACAATTTGTTAAAGTTCAAAGTATAACAATTAATTAATTCCATACTGGAAAGGAGACTTTTTTTATTACAAATAAATGTTAAGAATTTCTTATCCTAAAGTCTATTGCAGTAGAACTCCAATTATCCGAACTCCAATTAACCGAATCTCCAATTATCCGAATCGCTTATTTCAACAATTTTAAAAACGTAAAGCTACAGTAACAAGTTTTGCAAAATATCAAAAAATTGTTATTAAACACATTTAGCCAATTTTGGACTTTGATGGAACCCTATTGACTTAATAACATGTATAGAACACTTGTACTATGAGCATTGTAAACTGTAATAATGTTCTGATTTAAATTATTATTAATATAAAGTTCACTAAGTACTGAAAATGAGGATCTTTCTTTAAAATTTCCGGAATTCCGGTAAAACTCCGATTATCCGAATTTTTGATTATCCGAATTTTTGATTATCCGAATTTTTGATTATCCGAATGGGGTATGGTCCCTATTGATTCGGATAATCGGAGTTCTACTGTGCTTACAATAATGCAAGGTATTAAGTTAATAACTAAATACTGTATTAATTATATCATAGGTGAACATTGGAAAAAACACATTTAATACCTAGTTGAGGTATCCTTCAATAGGCAAATGAAGCACTGAATTCCATGACAAATCATTTGTTAACATTTTATTAACCTCCAAATATTGCAAATATGTCTCTTACAAACAAACGTTTGTTACTTTTCTCCCCGTTAAAATTTAAATATATTTTTTTTACATTTGAAATTAAAAACACAATACATACTAAGGTTTAGAATTTCAGCACTGACTGAGAACAGTGCAAGGCTTGACGTCTCATCCTATTGTCACATCTGAATTGTTTTGATGTAGGCTTCTTGTTGGTTATACAGTGCATTTAATTATGCTGAATAAATTTTACTCTTTTTTAAGATTTTTGTCAGAAACGAGAGTACAATTAATTATTTATTCAAATACATTTAACATTACTTAAAAAACAAGAAACAAATAATAAACACCTTTTATATAAACGGTACGAAACATACATCAACACATATTGTCATATTGTAGATGATCCATCAGGATGGCAAATCTATTAAGAGTCGGCAAGACCGCCGGCCAGCTTGGATTTTATGCCCATAACGGCAATGTTAATGGTTGAAGCATATTACAGCATTGTTTATAAAAAGTTGCAAAATATCTTATTTTAAAGCTATTGAAACAGCAGATTTGATTTTGTTATCTACTTTTAAATTTTAATTGATATTATTTTGTCAAACTACATAAATATATTGACTTAAAACGTGATTTTTTTCAACCTCTCAAAAAAAATTTAAAAATCCAAAAAGCAATTCTTACGGAAAATATATTTAAGAACCACATAAAATTTTCTGCTCAGTAATAAAGCTTACAGTGCTTCAACGAAAACGCATGTTTTTGCTGATCGGCGCTAGGACAACCACTGTTTAGCCTGGCATCTGACAGTCATCAACAATGCAAAACTATTAACTCATGCTGACTCTTAAAAAGTAATGTGAAATAATTAAATGACACATGATGTGGCATAAAGTCCCAAAGTAACTTTGACATTTAACAATTTATTTTCTTGTCAAATCTGTCAATCGAAGTGGTTGAAGGTTTCGTAGTTATCCGAATCAAGTAGTTAATAGTAAAATTATATTTTGCAAGTCACATTCATTTTAGTAAATTAATATTATACTATATTTTTTATCAAAAATTTTAACAGTTAATAAAATCAAATGATGTTCTTTTTTAATAAGTATGTTGTTGTAAACATAAAAAAACATGCGTAATTATGCATGCTCTCATGTAGTGAGTATTATAAATCTAGTCTTTGTATAGTCTCATATATAAATCAGGGCAATAAATTATTTAATTTCAGTGCCTTGTAATTTCATTGTTGTTTGCTTCAGATTTTTTACAGATTTAAGTTTATTATTGTACATAAAATAAATAATTGCTAGCTTGAAATTGTTGTTTTTTTACTCTTTCCCATGTAAACCCTAATACGCTCGTGCGTATAAAAATGGTAATTTTTAATAATTTTTCAAGTGGCAACCCTGGTGAGCAGCTCTGGCCGCAGAGTTGTTAGTCTTGACAGAGTCATTGACCTGTTATCACCCCCTGGGTCTGGCATACCCCCACCCACGTGCTTATGTTACCAGTACAGTGTTTATTGGGGGTCTAGTGTACTTCCGTGCAAATAGTAGTGTCTCAGATTTATTATCATAATAAGTATTAATAACTTTATTATTTATAATTTTGATAGTATTGAAAGTTTGCCAAAAAAAAACTTAGTATCTGTAAGTCAATTGGATGGAAATGTCCAACCATAGAGTCCACTGATCCAGCCTCCCAGTGCAAAGGCCCGGTGCACCGTCTGCCTTGGTAAAAAAGTACGCCAAGACCAAATTTAAGTGTAAAACCTTAAAAAACAAACTATTGTGCCAGGGACAAATGTAAAGTATTGGTGAAGTGTGTTTAAAAGGACTTCTAAACCAACCACTGGACGAGGATTTTCAAAGAAAAACACATTAACAAAGAAAGTGTTTAATTTTTTTTTTTTCTTCAGTACTTTCTACAAACCGGGAAATGTATTAATTCATGAAATATTTACTGCTTCCATGGCTTTGTACAAGTAGGCCTATCAAACTTTTGTAAAATAAAATATAATATTTGTTTGCAATAAAAACATGATTAACTACGATTTTCCCCTCTTCAACACCATTATTACATTTCATCATGAAAAAATTAAAGGTTAAAACTATTGTTTTCAAAATAGTTAAAGGATATGGTAGGATCATAAAATGTACGCAACAATATGAGAAAATGAATATAGATATTATGTCTAAAGTTTAAGAGCTAAATATCATAAACTTGTTTAAAATATAGTCTACCAATTTTTATTTGGGGGTCCACTAGACCCCTGAGCGCGCTCCAGCGTAAAAAAAAGCAAGCCGTAAATGTAGTATTATATATCAACCACCCTTTAAACCCTTGTTTAAAAAATTATTTTATATATCAGTCAAAGAAAATAAAAATGTTCTGACCAGCAAATGGATCCGTGTTAAGCAAAATAAGTTATCCTACTCAAAATCATAAATAATTAATAAGCTTATTATCCCGGTGTGGGGAGGCAGGGATGCGTAGATTTGTACAATAATTGATTTTTTTATCTAACTGTTAAAAAGAATATTTTACATTGTGCATGGTCAGTACAGTAAGGAATCCACACAATCACTTGGAGAGATTAATAATTTTTACCAGTTCTGCTATGCAACTTATTTTGCAAGTAAAAAATCATGTAGAATATACAAATCATGTCACAGTGGTAAAGAAAATCTAACTAATGTCAGATCAAATTAATACATGAAAGAAATGTTTACTGGTAACAGCTATAAGTCGGGAAACATTTGTCAAAACACTAAAAAATAAGGCCGGCTTCTAAAATATGATCAAATATTTTTACAACAACTGTTTATTATTTCAACCCATTATTAATAGAGTGAGTATTTCAATTAGTTACATAAGCTTTGAGTCTTTTAAACTTATCAAAATTATAACTAAATTATCATTATTGAAAATTATAACTGTTACTACTGCAGTTTTAAATAACGCCTGTATAATAACGGTACTTGACAATTGCTCGATTTTGAGCACTCTTATAAGATGACTGTTATATTTTTTAATAACTCCTGTATCATACCGGTACTTGACAATTGCTTGATTTTGAGCAACAGGTACACTAGTATTAATTAAAAATCCTACTAATATTATAAATGAGAAAGTTTGGATGTATGGATGTATGGATGTATGTTTGTGACAAGTGAACGCGAAAAATACTGGTCGGATTGGGCTGAAATTTGGCATGATGATAGCTCACATTCCCGATTAACATATAGGCATATTCTTATTTCAAAAATCCTTTCGGGCTCCGCCCCAGTGGCTCTGGAGTTTCCCATGTTAACCTTATGAGAAATGGAATTATTGAATCTTAACAGCTGTTTCAACTAAACAAGTTGGTTCTGTTCTATGATGTTCAATAGCATTAAAGTTCCAAGGATTACCAACAGGGTGCAGCACTATTATTTCTTTTACATTTATGACAACAGCTAATTTGCAACCAAAAGGTGAGTGAGCGGAGCGAACGAACTTCAACCTGGAGGCGATCGAGTTAGCGTAGCGAACGAGCTAACCTGAAGGCAAGTGAGCGCAGCGAACGAGCTCCAACCTAAAGGTGAGTGAGCGTAGCGAACGAGCTCCAACCTAAAGGTGAGTGAGCGTAGCGAACAAACTTCAACCAGGACGTGATTGAGCCATGCGAACGAGATAATCTTTAAAATTAAGAAGTTAAACGGGGCAAAGCCCGCGGGTTACAGCTAGTATTAATATAAATTTAACTTATGGAAATACTGTAAACCTAAACTGTATACCGGGTGTTCCATAATACTCCTCCCCAGGTTAATTTTTGAACGGCTGCATATATTCAAGCGAGCTTCGATAAACGTTACTTGAGTAATGTAAAGTACTTTTTGGTGGTATTTTTAAATTCACCCCCACCCCCAAATAGGGGTTGCTGGGGGTAACTTACAATTTTTAAAAGGCAAACCATAATGTAGCACATCACCCCCAGAACAGCTATGTGAAACCCCCCCCCCCCCGACATAGTTCTGGCTATGCTACTGATTAATCAAAGGTAATTTTATAAAGATTTTTTGGCCCTTTGAATGGAGGTATGTTAATTTAGGTTTGAACGGAATTTTGACTCACATTATTTAGGTTTTAAATAAAACAATCAAAGATGAAGAGAGTTTTAAGTTTTATTTGAAAATGTGGATTGTTCAGTAAAATTTATGTGTGCACAAAATTCTAAATTTCTTACAAACTATTTGGTAAACTACTGTAATTTGACAACACCAGTATGAAAAACTAACTAATAATAAATACAGAACCGATGACTGAGATGTTATGAAGGTTGTTCCAAACCTTGACAATTCATGGGACGAATGCATTTTACCCTGGACAAAACAGAAAATAGGAACACTATACCACTAGGGTTTGGCTCAACAAGTACAATATTGTGCTTTTAAAAGAAAATCTTAAAGCATAAAACACTATAAAAGCAAGAATAAAATTCAACGACATTGAAAACCTGCTTTGAATAAGTAAGAAAATAACGCTTATTCAAAAGATTTTTTTCAAACAACCAAACTGTAAAGAAAAAGAAGTTTTATAGAAATGCTGCATCCATTTTTGTTTAAGAAACTGTAACATTACACCCACTACAAGACAATAAATATTTGTAATAACTGTAATTAATTTGGATAGTTTGAATAAATGAAGGAAACCAAACTAGAGTACAGAATAGAAAAAAAAAAACGTTTGCAGATATAAATTTAAATATTTATGTTAAATAATTAATGAAAATAGCTTGTTATCTCCCGAAGAAGCATACAAAAAATACACAGAAACTTGGACACACATAAAAATCAAATAGGCTAATATGAATAGCGAATAGCGCTGCTCATTTAATAGTTTGTTATAACAAATAAACCATACAACAATCAGATACAGTATCGAACATAACATGTTTAATTATATAAAAACTTGATAAAATATATATTTAGAAATAACTGTCATATATAAAATGTTACAAAAATTACCAACTAATTTGGGACAATCATTTTTAAACAGTAACTTATACTAAAACATCAATATGATACCTAGATCTAAAGCCTTTACTGTAGTCCATCGCTCCAGTCTCTAATAACAACAGATGAACTGAAGTAGGGACTGTAACCAGCCAACACAGGTCAGGATCTAGACCATCCAACAACAATGATATGTGGTTGTTAGCTTTGTTAATTTGTTTCATAATTCAATACCAATACATTTTTTGCTTGGTTAAAAAATTAATAGTAAAATTTTCATTTCACGAGTTCTTTCAAGTCTTCTTTGAGGGAAGGCACAGAAGAGTTGAAATTTCACTCAATAGTTTTTGTTGTAAAAATTAAATTTTTAAAAATAAAAGGGTGACAGTAATTCATACTTTTTGCAGTCTTAAAATAAATAGCACCTTTTCCATCCTTCATTCAATCATTAATCAGAATTATTGAGATCATACAAAGAGAAAAAATCTCGGAACTGATAAAAGTTAAAATGCACCGTCACTTACCAAATACCAACAATGTGGGTGAAGTCAAGTATATACAGTCAATCACAATTACTAATCTAACTCTAAGCTAAAATGGCACATTCAACTTAAACTATCCGTACATAAGGCAATACTATCGAACTGAGACTGGACAAACATATCTCTAAACCTGCGTTCCTTAAAATAACCGATTAAACACATTACAAGTGAGACGAGCACCCAGCATGTGGGTCAGATGTGATAAGAGGTAGATGGGAAAGGGCGTTTGACAAGTTAAAATATGCTGCGTAAATGAAACACATACACAAATCATTAAAGCCACACCAATTGTGGGCTCGGGTGCAAATTTTAGAAAGACTGTATTTTGGTCTGGTTAGCATAGTAGAAATTCAATTTGAAAGTTGCGTTTTCAACCCGAATCAAATGCTTATACAATTCTGAATTTGCACTGCATTGTAGAAAATTTACCGATTTAGTTTGTACAGCGTTTCTACAACTATGGGGTATTCTTTTCTACGAATCTATATTTGCAGCGATAGAACAATGAGCATTCAAATCTACTTATTGTATGGATCAACTTGAATTTCTGATATGCTGAAAAATCATGACGGGTTACATCTGTATAAAGAATTACACCAGAAGAGAAAAGCCTAGATTGGTTAGTGAGATATCACACAGATGGACAATTGACTCTGACAGTTCTAGTGCAAAGCTCTTGGAGTTGAGTGCAGCAGTTTCCTCGTTTGGTGCAAACAAATAATCGCTCGGTGACAGTTTAGCAAGGTTCCATGAGATTATGAGGCTGATTGTCTCAATGGCGTGAATAAAGCTAATATTATTGGCAGTCAAATCGAGTATATAAAAAGCTACTTCACTCGTAATATCAACCACTACTGGGAAAAGAGACGCTTACACTCCCTTCATAGAGAACTCTTGGAAACAAAAACTATTTGGGGGACGTGTTTGATATTCATAAAAAAATATTAATCAAATTTAACCATCCTAATCCTAAACAGATGTTTTAATAGTTTAAGTCCAAGAAAGGGTCAAAATCTGGTTCACTCTTAAGACGGGACACAATATACTCTGTGTTTTAAATTAAAACTTAAAAATCAAAAGTAATTTGGTTTTAAAAATGATAAATCAAAGGTGGCTAGCATTTAGCAAACTGCACCAAACGGGAGTGCCAAGAGGACAGAGGGAGGGGGAGGGATCAGAGAAGGGAGATGGCAGCAGCGGCGGCAGTAGCAGCCAGCAGCAGTGTTACCACCGCAAGCAGTAGCCGACGTCATGCTATGATCACTCCATCACTGCCACCACGCGAGAAACAAAGACAACCTCCGCTTGTAGAGCCTCGCTTGAACAGCAACCTGTCCTCCTTCTCTCGTTCATGATAGCATTTGTCATAGTAGTCGTAGTCTTTGAGGTACCTGTCAGACAAACAGAGAAGAGCTACAATGGAACTGTTTAAATGACTAATAAGTAATAGGGAAATCGTAATTTATATTAATCTTTCCTGAGATAGTGTTAGATTATTGGTTGAGTTGCTGAAAAATGTTTCTTGGATTTTGTTCCCTTTTGTCAACTGCCTTTGCTCGTATTGAGATTAAAATTGTGTTAAGCAATAAAGCCATGTTTGCACGTGGCCAGGACCGCGTCTCGTTGTCCCGCCGTCTAGTTGTACCTACGTCTACTTGTACCTCGAGGCCTAGGGACAACTAGTCGTAGGTACAACTAGACTTAGGTACAAGTAGACGGTGGCACACCTGACTAGTTGTACCTGCAGATTTTTAGGAGATACAACTAGACGTAGGTAAAACTAGACGTGTATCCCACCGACAAGTAGTATCACCTAGCTTGTACGGATGCGACCAGTTGTCCCTACGACTAGTAGTCCCTACGACTAGTGGTCCCTCCATCTAGTAGTCCCTACGTCTAGTTGTACCTACGACTAGTTGTACCTACGACTAGTTGTACCTACGTGTATTTTGCGTCCTTATAGTCTAGTTGTATCTATCCTTCAATTCGTTACCCTGTTTAATTGATTACTGCACGAGTACTTTTTAATAATACCCTTAATTAAATCAGGAACTGCAGTGTTCCGAGTCAATTGAGTATGATTGGCAAATATTTTTCACCGCACTACGATGTTTTTTAGTAGTTTTACAGACGTTAATTGGAGGCTGAAAGCTACGCATTGCTGTCCAGGGTCGAAATGGCAGCTATAGTTGTAATTAAAATTTTCCAGCCCTAGTACCAAAAATCGCTTATTTAATTAAAACATTTATATATATATATAATTAAATATACAAGCAGTATATTATCCTTAATGAATTGCAATAGACCGCTGCCTAGCAATTATGTATTACTATTTTTGCTGATTCCTTAAAATATTTTTTCACATAACCTCAAAGTATTTGCATTGATTATAGTGTGCATTTCTTATAGTTTACAATGGATTTCCCAGTGAACAATGAACAATGAAGTGTACAATGAAGTTGAAGTCCAGCGGTTGAAAACTCTATCGAATGTTAGTTGTCTGGCGTCCGATCTGTAGTAAAATCTTTTACTACTCGACTTTTTGAGGAAAGGTTGGGAAAGTAACAACGATCACAAGTTTTAATTAATATTGGCAGCTTTTTCTTTACTATAAATTTTGAACTGCTTACACTAAGCTTGAATTAGAAATAGACATAACTATATATATTTTTAAATGGACTGCTCGATTCCCGTACGTAGGACGGGCCAACAGCTCGTAGTGATTAAACTTAACTGAATTTAAATTTCTATTTTGGTATATTTTTTCCTTTGAATACATGTTCTTGTTAAATTCAATTGTATGTAAATTATTGTTTACATTCATATTTATTTTGTTCTTTTTATATATTTCTTCATTACATTTAAACTATATAAACTACATTTTATACTGAGCTAGGTATGTGTACACTGGCTATGTAGTCTGCAACTAAACCAAGATTAGTTTTACTAAGAACTTATAAGCGCGCACAAAAAAGTCATATTTGGCTTATTTTTTCAATGGTATTTCAATACTGAGCATTAATTACGTTTGCGTAGAAGGTAATTAAGATGTGTTTTTGAGAAAAGTTAGTAGTTAAGTGTGAAATAAACTAATTTGTCAAAGTATATGCATCAACAACCAAACTACGCCAGTTTACGTAATATCCATAAGAATAACATATACATTTTAAATTTGAACTTGTTGTAATATTCTCCGTGACTAATACCATACAAAAACACTTTATTATACTCAATTCCTTGTTTTTGTAATCTCTGAATTTATTTATTTAAAATAATTGTTTAAAGTTGTTGTTTAAGCTAGTTAATGTTAGTTTTCTATAGAAAGGTAGAGTTTAAGTGGAAAAAACAATGATAGCAGATCTTGACAAGAAATAAGGAAAACCAAAGAGTAATATGGATAAGCACTGACCAAGGGACACAAGTAGGCCTACATTGTTATCAAGAACAGGGGTTTCTCAATGAGCTGCAGACAAGCCAAATTTTCCTGGCTTTTGTAGCAAGTTGTTTATAAAAAATTGTTGTAAGATTGTATGATTTTTTAAGAAATAAAATAAATCCCTTAAACTGGTGACAAGTTGAAGGGGAGATACAACTAGCCGTAGGTACAACTAGAATTAGGTACAAGTAGGCGTAGGTACAACTAGTCGTAGGTACAAGTAGTCGTAGGTACAAGTAGTCGTAGGTACAAGTAGACGCAGACGTATGAGGTACAAGTAGACAGTGGCGTACGCGACTAGTTGTACCTGTAGATTTTTAAGAGGTACAACTAGACGTAGAGACAACTAGACGTAGGTACAACTAGACGTCCGCACCATCGTCAAGTTGTACCTACAGCTTTGGACGAGGTACAACTAGACGCCTGTCACCAAAATGCAGCAGGTACAACTAGACGCCGGTACAAGTAGACATCGCCCCACGTGGCCAGTACACGGGCAGAATCCCTGCTTCCATTAATTTATTTATGTTTAAGTTACCTAAGGCAGGTAACCTTCCTGCCTGCTGGCTTTGTGTGTGGACATGGATTAGAGAATACAATAAGTGTGATAAACACAGAGGAAAATTTCTTCTTGTGGTGGTATATACATATCGGTACCGTATGTAGTTGTTACTCACCAAACAGGAGGCCAGCGGTGCTCAGACAAGTACTCTTGGTTCTCAGGATGAAGGGATCTCAACAGTTTGGGAGACATCTTGCACAGTTTGTTGTAGTTGACACAGAGATGATTCATGCACCAGTCAGCCAACTGATCTGCATTGTGGAGCTAAAAAAAGTAACAGAGAATCTCTTGACAACATTCAGTAAAATGTCAAGTAAGGAATCTAGATACATATAAAATGCTACTATAATTAATGGTTTCAGGATTGCAAGGTTTTTCACATGGCAAGTATATAGTGAACATCTACCTTGATATAGAACTATCCAGTAAATAAAATGATGTAACGGAGGAGTTGCCAAACATCTGGCAGATTATTTAGAACGTTTAAAATTCTTATGAGGGAGGAAATAGTATATTTCATCACTAGGGTTGAAAAATTACCTTTTGATAAACTAAATTTTTTGTCACATTGCAACATTAATTAGCAGACTAAACTAGAAAACAAGAATAGTTGTCATGAGGTAACCCGCTGCAGCACGGGCAGCGCAACACTATGTCACAGTGGTGGATAGTTGTACTAAACTCTTACCATTAAAATCTTACAAACAGCCAGCTTGTTTCTTTACGTAAAACATATGGGGATGGTGATGGCAATGAATTTATCAATGAAATCTATCCACTAATGTGACGTCATGGATCCTGCAGCATGGCCTGTTTTTATAGTAGGACCTTGAGTAACCACTCAAACCGACTTACAAGCAGCTGTTTAGTAGGTGATTCAATCATTTTGTCTATTACATTGTGTTACTTACTATACAGGGTGACAAAAAAGTCTGGAAACGGCTTAATATTTTTTTAAGTAAACTCGTTAGAAAATCCTTAACTTTCACATCAACTTATATGTATGTAAACTACTTTTTGCAAGCATTACCATTTTTTTACCTTCACTAGGGGACGGCCCATGAGGAGTAGGTATGTAATCTTTAATGTAAGCTTAGGTTGATATGCACATCATTTTAAAGGTTCTGTCAAATGGAGTTCATTGCCGGAAACCGCGTCAAAAAAGGTTCATCCGTTACAAAATGGCGGCAGTCCAAAGTTCTTGCGGAATATACCTGCACAGGCCTTAGTATTGGTAAATACTCGTATTGAACATTAGCTTGAGAGCTGAAATTGTATTTTAAAGTCAACTAGCTCATAGACTAAGTTTATTCAATCTTCAAAACAAATTTCACCGGGTTTCAGATTTCCCGGCTAATGTTGACTATTACTATTTACCAATACTAAGGCCTTTGCAGGTATATTCCGCAAGAACTTTGGACTGCCGCCATTTTGTAACGGATGAACCTTTTTTGATGCGGTTTCCGGCAATGACCTCCACTTGACCAGACCTTTAAAATGATGTGCATTTTAAACTATGCTTGCATTAAAGATTATGTACCTACTCCTCATGGGTCGTCCCCTGGTAGAGGTAAAAAAATGATAATGCTTGGAAAAGGTAGTTTTCAAACATGTAAGTTTATGTCAAAGGTTTGAATTTTCTAACGGGTTTGGTTAAAAATATATTAAGCCGTTTCCAGACTTTTTTGTCACCCTGTATATTATACCATCAATATGTTTAACTATTGACAAGGATACAAGAATAAGCTACAAATGATTTAATCAATCGATACGTACATAATTTTGAAACATGCGATTGCTTACAATCAAAGTTTACAACAGCAGATTTTTACTCCCTAGAGACTAAAAAGGCTTTTCACTCCGTAGGAGTAAAAAAGCTACTTTAAACCCACAATGCATGTATGAAAAACGGCTGTTTTTGCTACTTTATGACAAAAACATAAGTATAATCAACACCAATTCCCATACAGCAGAGACTACTTCTTCCCCTGTCGAAAGTTACCTTGCAAGATTCCAGGAGCCGCAAGCAGTGTTCCACGACATCTCCGTTGTCTGACGCTGAACAAATCCTGGTCAGTTCCTCCACAACTCGCTTTTCCACCAGAGTTACCAACCTCTGCAGACACAAACGGTTGGCCAGCTCCAGCAGGTCTAAACACCGTGTTGGCATCACTGGGCCCATGTCATCACAGTACAGGAAGCTCACCAGCTGACGGAACGTATCTGTTCTCACTCCCGGGAACAGAATCTAACACAAAATCATGTATAGAATACTCATACTACTTACATCAAAATTGATGAATCATATGGTTTCATCACTATAAATTCCTTATGGTAGAGCAGAAGAAACATAAAATGTTTCGATTCTACTCTTGCATTTTTCACAATCCTAAAGATTATTTCTCATTATTGCAAACATCATATTGATGGAAATTTATTGCTATTGACATTTTATTCGTAATTTTTAATTCGTAATTTTTATTCGTGGTGTGAAAGACATAAAAACGTGACAGCAATTCCTTGGGTTTTCATCTCACCTTGACCTGTCACTAAACATTTATCAGTAAAGTTAAAGTTAATTCTTGAACTTTACCAACTAAACCTTTGCTTTGCTTGATATCTTCCAAGAACACGACTTTGGCAAGTGCAAGAGCTGTGAAGTGTAAATAAGCCAAGCTACTCAACCTATTGAAAAACTGTCCATCCACAAATTGAAAACCTACAGACACTCGGTCCAAACAGAATTCATGGCACGAGTGTAAAAATAAGATGTAGACCCAAAAAAATATAAGGTTGTGCATTATAGCCCCTTTCCATCTGTTCTGCAATGCACTATAAGAGCTTATTACACGACATCACTATTCTGACAGATTGTTGAGTTAGGTACTTACAACTTTGGCACTGCCTTCACGGAAGTCACCAGAGAACATGGCTCTCATCATGTCACAACGAGCCATGAGCAGAGGTCTGTGTGCGGACAGAGAGCCATCATCAAGCTGGAAGAGAACATCAGCAAACAGGCCTTGAGCCAGCACTAGCTCCTTCAGCCGCACTCTGATCGCCTGCAACAACCAACAGCCATACAAGGGAGGGAACTTTAAGATAGAAAAGTTAAACAGGTAACTTGAAAGACATCTTCAAAGAAGGAAACTGTCTAAGTTTAAAAGCATTACAAATTAATCTGTTTGCATCAATAAATGCTCCAACCAAGAAATTTTATATGGAGTCGCTTACAGAATAATAGCAATTACTATATGAAAAACTAATCTATATATAAGACAAAATTTAATTGATTTAATCATCCACATAACTATTTCTAATCAATAAGAATAAAAGTCTGGTCTTTAACACTGCTATGAATAAATCAAGTTGATAGAGATTGATTTGTTTAGTACATTTGTCGATTCTTTAGAAACTATACGAGTCCAAATAACTTTAAATGGAACAGTGTTATGTTTTCGTAAGTTATGCGTCATAAATTTGAGGCTAATTGCTATTAACACACTTAACATAGGACACACATTTAGCATTTATTACCTGCCGATAACGCTGTTTTAACTCTGGGTTTAAAAACTCCTCATGCGCTTGAATATTAGAAACATAAACCAACAACTCTGGCAGTTCCATGAATTCAGCTGCTTGTCGAATTTCCTGAAAGTTAAAAATTATGTTAACTTCAGTTTTGCCTACAGTTGTCATAGTAAATGGCGTTTTGCTTACTAGAATTAGTTTGAAAACAGTTGACTTCTCAACAGACACATCTACACACACACAAAAATATAAATCACTTAAAAACCATTTTTTTCAGGTTCAGAGGGACCAAAAACTCAAAATAAAATAAAATTGTAAAAACAATACTTTCTCTTCGCAAACTCGGCACTCGATAACCCGGCAGTCTGGATAACTCGGCCATCACCTGGCTCAGAAAATTAGCGATATTTTGATACTTGTGGTCGGACCCGCTGTTATCAATGTTCAAGTTAACCAGTTTTAAGCACTAACAATCAATATTATAGCATAAGTTATAACAAACCAAATTGGTTGAAATGCTGATTTTAAGAGATTTGTCACAAACAAGCACTATAAATAGCAATAAAATGGTAAAAATCGGGAGCAGATTCAACGGACGTGTTGTTCAAACCGCAACAGTAGTGCCAACCTGGCACTAACTATTAACTGTTTGTAGGATAAATTCAGATTCTCAGTAGGCTATTGTTACAAGTCAGGAGCCCCGCACAACAATAGCCAGGCGCCGTCTCAAAAGGATTGTTTGTCTACACGGGTTTCTCCAAACGCACCAGAGACAGACAATAGACCCATGTCAACGGACTACGTCAATAGGATCTTTGACATCCACCAGAAGCTTCCACGGTGATCTGTAAACACCTCTGTTTGGGTCTCTAGAATGTTCTACGTCAAGCTTATATAAGGGACCGTCTTCCGGCACACGGCAGTTGAGTCTTGTAAGCTGAGTCCGAGGATCATCGCAGCGTGACCAGTGCTAGTGACAGTGACAGTGTAGTGACAGCGTAGTGTCAGTGTAGTGACAGATTTAGAGATAACTCCTGTAGAGGTTAGCTGTAAGTAGAAACATTGTAAATTTGAATAGCTAGGTTTAGATAGGGTTAGTTAGGTGTTAGGTAATTGTAATTCTGTAAATAGAGAATAATATGTGTAAATAAATATGCAGTGGTGGCGATAAGAACCCGCAGGCCCCCCCCCGCAAGTTTGTTCGCCGGGCCCCCCTCTCCCAATGATCTTAATAAACATTTTTCCATGTATTACCGCCTAAACTTGCAATTTTGCAACAACTTGACAAGGCATCTCCCGAGGCGTCATTATCGTCTTCCATGATCGCGGCAAAATCGTAAATACTTCCCGTAGTCATAAGTCATGGAAGAAACATTATCATAGTTTACCGTGATTGCAAATGCAACCAAACCTATGACATCATTAGATAGCAGCATCATCGTCTCCCGCGTTCACGGCCCAATCTAAATATCACGGCCTAATATCTCCCCGCGACCCGTCGGTGGTGACGGATAAATCATTTATCCGTAATCGCGGCTAAATCCTAGATATATCTCTCGCTAAAAAAGAAACGTCATTATCGTCTTCCGCAACCGCGGTAAAATATTGAACATCTGCGGCCGTGGAGACATCGTCATCGTCACCCGTCCGCGATCGCGGCAAAAGCGTAGGCCTAATCTTTCAATTTCGTGAGCGTGATCCTCACGGATATAAAAGCTTTTACTTTTAATTGTGCATTATTGTATTGAATACTGAGAAAATCATCTCGAGCTTGATTTTCTGACTTTGTGCTTGATCTCTCAAGCTTGTAGTCCAGGCTCTGCTCGGCTCGATAATCTACATTATAGGCCTATTTAAAAAATAAACCGTTTCCAAAACAACCCGATTTTGGACCGATCTGATTTAGCCTCAGTCCCTTAGTAACATTTACAGTGTGTTCAAGATCGGGTTGCTTTGGAAACGGTTGATTTTTATAATAGGCCTATAATGTCGATTTTCGAGCCGAGCAGAGTCTGGACTACAAGCTTGAGAGATCAAGCACAAAGTCAGAAAATCATGCTCGAGCCGATTTTCTCAGTAGGTATTCAATACAATAATGCACAATTAAAAGTTAAAGCTTTTATATCCGTGAGGATCACGCTCACAAAATTGAAAGATTAGGCCTACGCTTTTGCCGCGATCGCGTATATTGACGAGAACATTTCCCCGCGGGTGACGATGACAGCCACATTGGTTATAAATACAGCCCTATTATTATGCAACCAATTTTGACTGCGCCTTCACACAATCCACGAGGACAGTTAATGCAACCCGCATGACTGATGACAATTCTTTTACTTAGGTTGGTAGATAATTTATATCGATCGGTCAAGTAATAGTGTTAGTTCAGTTGTTGTAAACTACTTGAACTATAGGTTTGAAAAATTTTCATCATAAAAAAAGTAGCCTATTTTAATTCTCATATAAATATTGTTATGATAGGGTACCCGTGTGGCTGGGCCTATCACACTATCGCAGGCCCGTGTGCTGGTAAAATTTACCGAAAATCCCGGTCAAGACTCACGGGCCCCCTAGCTCGCGGGCCCCCCTGGGAAAATCATTCACAACTCGTACCAATTAATTTTTGTACTATATCTGATGACTTAATACTGACTTGTAACTTAAATATAAATAAAAAGGAGGTTAAAAAGCTTAAAAACTGTATTGTCCATATTTTTAACCCTAGTTTCCGATAACCTGGAATTTTAGAAACTCGACACCCTTCCAGTCCACATTACGCCGAGTTTGCGGGACTCTACTGTACTATGTTAGGAAAGAGAGTAAAACACAAGGCTTTGTTAAAAAATTAAGTAAGTATTAATTGATGAAGATGATTATGTTAGTATGTAAGTATGTAAGTGGAAAGTACTTTTTCATCACTCTGTATTCAAAAATAGCTCATATCCATACAGCTCAGATCATTGAAAATCTTCAATTTCCATACACCAAAAATGCAAGCAATACTTTACCTGACATCAACAAAGTTACAACCAGCTGAATTTTACCTATTTTACACTAAAACTAATTCTACAGCCTGTTGTGTTTGGATTAGAAAAATAAATAGATTTGATTACGAAATTTCAGATTTTTTTTAAGTTTGATTAAATAGTTTTTGTTTTCATCATCATAAGAATTATCGTTCAATACTCATCACAAAAGTGCCATCTTGGGGTTCGATAGTGTTTCCCATGCTCTTCTTAATCTTATATAGGTACTAAAAAACTTTTGCAAAACTTACGACAGCTAGCCTAACCTTACTACTGGACCGAATTACACGCGGATGGTACCACATGAAAGATATTTACCTGTAGATGTGCAGAGTCCCTTTATAAATTACAATAGGCTCACAAATAAGCACGAAAAATAAATTTGAAATTTGAAAAAATTAACATGGGTCTTATGAGTTGCCATGGTGATGACGAAATAACAACAAAATATAAACAGAAAATCTAAACAAATGGAATAAATTCCAATCACATGTTTTATTTACAGTGTGGGGTGAAAAGATCGATGGGTGAAAATAGAGTCCGTACATTACATATTTTTGGTAGAGTTTTCGATCACGGGGCGACCTATAGGAACCAATATAAAAATAAACGTTTCTTAAGGAGATTGTTTTAAGCTTACGACAGACACCCAGACCATACTACTGGACCGATTTACACGCGGTTGGTACCAAATGAAAGGTAATTGTCTGTATATTTGCCCATTTTGCTTCGACTTCAGTTATTACTGGACTAAATGTTATAAAAACGGAAATTAAAATCTCTATTGACAATTTAAAATGGGGTAAAAGTTTTAGTCTATTAAGAATGAGATCTAGAGTTATTGGACCGATTTACATGCAGGTTGTGTTAAATGAAATGTAATTAACTCTATATTCTCCCATGTTCCTGAAAAGTTTACCATTCCTTTATATAATCTTCTAAAAATGGAATTTAAAATATTTTCTAAAAACGGAAATTAAAATTTGTATTGACAATTTAACTTTAACATGGGGTAAAATTTTTAGTTTATTAGAGTGAGATCTGCATATTGGACCGATTTACATGCAGGTTGTGTTAAATTAAAGGTAATTAACTGTATATTTTTCCATGTGTCTGAAAAGTTTACTTTTCTTTTATATCACATATAATAAAAAACTTTTGCAAAACTTATGACTGCTAGCCTGACCATACTACTGGACTGAATTAAACACAATTGGTACCAAATGAAAGATATTTTCCTGTAGATGAGCAGAATCCCTTTATAAATTAAAATAGACTCAAAAATAAGCACAAAAATGAATTTTAAATTTAAAAAAATAACATGGGCCTTATGGGTGGCTATGTTGGTGACGAAATAACAACAAGATATAAACAGAAAATCAAAACCGATTAAAGAAATTCTAATCACATGTTTTATTTACAGTGTGGGTTGAAAATAGAGAAGTTTGCACAATAGATAGTTTTGGTCGAATTTTCGACCACGGGGTAAGCTCTCGTTAAATCTAAATTTTGGTTTCTTAAGATTTCAATTGACTGCCATATTTCTTGGGTTAAGATGAAGACCTCTAATTTGCGTTGTTAGTTAATATTTCAACACCATCAAAATGAGGGGTCACTCGATGGGGCTTTTAACATTTCAAATTTTTTAGTTTCCCCCAAAATCCCCCATTTTGGGTTTGCGAACCAAGTAGCAATTAGGCTCAAAAAGTACTTCATAACAATCATAACATGCCATAAAGGTGTGCAGAGTTTAGTTTTTCTAGTGTGAGCCGTTAAAAAATTTACAGGGGTTCTCCAGACTTATAAAGCTGTAAGTTAAATTTCAATTGACTGCCATTTTTTACTGGGTTGAGATAGAGACTCCTAGTTTGCGTTCAGGGCCGGATTTCCCAATAGGCCCGGTAGGCCCGGGCCTATGGGCGCAAGGTCCCAGAGGGCGCACGGGCGCACGGCCGAGAGGATTTTTTTATAGGCTATCTAAAAATAAAAATAAATAGTCGTAGTTGATAAAAAAGCTTCTGAAGTTCATAAGAATAAATTATTGTTAGGAAATTTGAAAGATATTTTTCAGAATTACGTATCATTTTCATTACAAAATTGCTAACAAACATTGGTTATACGGGAGTAGGCTGTAGAAATGTTGACGTTGACGAGCGCCCAAGGGGTACGCATCGTATTGCCACTGCACTGCCACTATGCTGGCTCAGGCCACAGAAAACATACTACTATAACCTTTATATAGTAGTATGTTTTAGTAGGTTATAGTAGTATGTTTTAGTAGGTTATAGTAGTATGTTTTCTGTGCTCAGGCTCGGGCTCGGCACTACTGATCAGAGTGATTAGGGGCGCATGCGTGCTAGACATTGTTACCACCCTCACTTCACAAAACAAAAGTTAAAAGTTATTAACTAATCTTTTGATTAGTTTACAACAATCTGCAGGATCAAGTTAAAATATATAATACGTTGTGTTAAATATTAAAACAACGATGAATTCACGTTTAAAATTAACAAAAAAAATATTAATCTCAGTTTTTATTAGATTTTAGAAAAATTTAATACCCTCCAAAGCACCATTAATGCTGTCATTTTCTCCTCAGACGTAAGGATCGGTATGGTTGGCAGGAGTATTGCTCTGTTTTGCTTTGGAAATACAACCTAGTATGCAGTACGACCATTAAATATAACTCAAGTCGACTTCTTATGACATAGTTAATTCAAAATTTGTTGATGTCTAGTTCATGTTGGTGAAACTAGACGTTAGTTTTGATGTAATTTTGTTTCTATTATTATTATTTTAGGGTTAGTTCTATGATGTGTGTTTTAATTTCTTGTAATGTAAACAGGAGACAAACTATTGATGATGATTAGATCGTTTTATTTTGGCTAAACTAACTAGGTTTAAACATACTCCCTAGATAAATCATACTCCTTAAAATACAAGAATCTTTTTCAGCTAATGCAAAATGATGAAAAATCCACTAAAGGAGTATGTTTAATCTATGGTATCACGTACTGTATGGAGTTCATGTTATTGGGCCTGGAATTGGAATCAATGGCCATGTTTTTTTCAGGAATTCTCGGTGGTTTCGGTTTGAGTTGTTTGTTTCAGTCCCATGGCCACAAACGTGAGCATTTATTAAAAGCATAAAATTGCTAAAAGTGTTTAACGGCATTTTGTTATGGCTAAACTAAACATGTCAATTCTTATAATTGCAATGATTCCGACGAGGAGTAGTATTCAAGCAATTAACTTAAGCCTATGGGCATGATATAGTGTTTAATAAAGTTCTGAAGGAAAGTAACTGTGACCAGACTAGGAGCGGAAAATTATTTGGGCCTAGGGGCGCAAAAATGCTAAATCCGGCCCTGTTTGCGTTGTTGGTTTTCTTTTATCAGGACCTTCAAAATGAGAGGGGTCTTACAATTTGAAATTTTCGAGTTTCCCCAGAAATCCCCCATTTTAGGGATGTACACGAAGTGGCGGCTATGCCCAAAAAGTACTTCATAACATGCCATAAAGGTGTGCAGAGTTTAGTTTTTCTAGTAGGGGCCGTAAAAAAATTGACAGGGGGTCTCCAGACTTTTTATTAACCCTGTATGTATTGTAACATGTCTCATTCTGTCTAGTTAGCTATATTGTATTTATTAACTGACTTTATGCTATAACTTAAGCTGTTTTATGACATTGTCAATAATTTGTAGAAATTCAAAGAACAATAAACACGTTTCATTTCATTTCACATTTCATTTAATTTCATTTGTTTCTAGCTAGTTTCTAGCTGTCACATACAGTACCAACAACTGTATACAAAATATAATGGGCAACTCATGTTTGAAGTGCCAAAAAGTGTCCATTTGCTAATTAGCTGCACAAATTACTATTTTCACATGTTATGAATTGAAAAAATAACTATTAGGGCAGATAAGAAAACATTAGGCATGGTAAAAAATTTATATTGTTAATGTGTTAAATACTAAAGAAATATACTAAAGCTATTCTTACCAATAATATTCTTATACAAATGTATAAGAGTCTATTTAAACAAATCTCTAGCGGGATTTATACATACATGCTCCAATGTAAACAAAATGAATAGTTTGATTAGAGTACCTTAATAGGAGTCCTGCTTAGTTACAGTTAAATGCAGTTGTTGCAGTTAATGTACTTTTGGACATGGTGAGATTTGGACGACGTGCAACAGTAAAATATTTTATATTGGACATCGTGAAACAGCTCAAAAGTTATATTTTGGACATAATGACACTGACTTATATCATTGGACGTCGTGCAATGCATCCCTATTTTCCACTCAAAAAATACTTAATTTTACACTATTTTTAAATTCCAGAAAAAATACAATTTAAAAAACCTTAAATGTACAGTAATCAAGTACTGTATAATTAGATTTTTAAATGCAATATAATCGAATACTAACATTAAAATACTTTAAATTTAATTTTAACAAACTCAAAACAAAGCAATCAAATTTATATGGCAGAGTTATATTTACCATGAGCAATCCTAGTGGAAGGTTCTGCTGAAACACAGAGATTCTGAGAGCTGACAACAAGTAATTGCTTATCCTAATGAACCTGTCAGAGTAAACTAAAAAAAGTAAATAATGGATTTATGTAGTGACAAATTTATTTTTCAAGAGGTTGGCGGCCTCTTTTAACTTTTCATTTGCCCGTCCACAAGATCTGTGCGTGGAAGGTATCCAGCATAGCAAGGGGTGAGCCGGTACAGTACAAAGGTGAACTGTACCGAATTTTTTAAAGATTAAGTTGTATACAGTACATATCAATAGTTCGTATTATTTATTAAGTATATCGTACACTAACAGTTAAGCCTTTTTATCGGAACTATGTTTAGTACCCTACTTCGTTTCATATACTATACATTCTTTTCAACACCATTTCGGGTAACAATTGGGACTAAGCAAATAATAATGGTACTGTATTTCCAACAGTAACATGTAATCATATAACATGTTAATGTAGGCTCTTGCTACCAAATTAAAAAAAATGAGAATTACTAACAGAAACCGAAACATCACTAACTACAGATACTATTAAGGAAATTGACAGGAAAGCAGGCTTACCTTTAAATAAGTCCATAGAGACACATAACACATCACAAAATTAAAAGTAGAAATTTTCGTGGTCACTGACCACTTTTTCAACCACTGGAGATTGGAGAAATGGCAATGGCAGTTGCAATTTGAATCTATTACACCTTGTCAGGGTTGCCAACACAGATGAAGAGACTAAAAATTGTTTTTACTGTTGCATATGTATGAATGTGTTCACTTATTATGAATAATCCACTATATTTACACTGTTCTATATTTACACATATGTACACACACATATTAAACATTTTTTATATACACTAGCCTGCTATGGAAGGTGAGGAATGGGGTTTATCTTAGATTAAGGTTTGGTGGGTTTCTAGAATGGGTGAACCATTGGTAGCTTAGTTCCCATCTTCTCAGTTCTGAGGGGTTGCAGTTTGGAGGCAGTTGTTTTATTATTTTTGAAGAGTAGCAGCTATTAAAATCAGATTTTGAGTGGGATGAGGCATGGTTGACTACTGGTTTGTCTTTATAATTATTTTTTACATCTTGACGATGACCGTTCATTCTGGTACGGAACTGGTTCTTTGTTAGGCCTATATACTGAGCTGGGCAGTTTTTACATTGAAGCTGATAAATTACATTGCTGGTGCTGCAGGTGTTGTGTCCTTGAATCTTGAAAACTTCATTTGTGGCGTTGCTGGAAAAACTTGTGGTGGGGGGGTTGATGGGACACGTTTTACATCTGGAAGTATTACATGGGAAAGAGCCGTTTGGGGGTTTGTTTCTGGTTGCTGTAATTGGATCCGGTATCTTAGGATGAACAAGAATCTTTTTGATGTTAGGTGGTTGGCGAAATGTGGTGGTTGGGGGGATTTTCAGGAAATCCTTTGTGTGGGGGGAAGCTTGGAGAATTTTGAATCCATCTTTTAGAATGGATGGATTCAAAATTCTCCAAGCTTCCCCCCACACAAAGGATTTCCTGAAAATCCCCCCAACCACCACATTTCGCCAACCACCTAACATCAAAAAGATTCTTGTTCATCCTAAGATACCGGATCCAATTACAGCAACCAGAAACAAACCCCCAAACGGCTCTTTCCCATGTAATACTTCCAGATGTAAAACGTGTCCCATCAACCCCCCCACCACAAGTTTTTCCAGCAACGCCACAAATGAAGTTTTCAAGATTCAAGGACACAACACCTGCAGCACCAGCAATGTAATTTATCAGCTTCAATGTAAAAACTGCCCAGCTCAGTATATAGGCCTAACAAAGAACCAGTTCCGTACCAGAATGAACGGTCATCGTCAAGATGTAAAAAATAATTATAAAGACAAACCAGTAGTCAACCATGCCTCATCCCACTCAAAATCTGATTTTAATAGCTGCTACTCTTCAAAAATAATAAAACAACTGCCTCCAAACTGCAACCCCTCAGAACTGAGAAGATGGGAACTAAGCTACCAATGGTTCACCCATTCTAGAAACCCACCAAACCTTAATCTAAGATAAACCCCATTCCTCACCTTCCATAGCAGGCTAGTGTATATAAAAAATGTTTAATATGTGTGTGTACATATGTGTAAATATAGAACAGTGTAAATATAGTGGATTATTCATAATAAGTGAACACATTCATACATATGCAACAGTAAAAACAATTTTTAGTCTCTTCATCTGTGTTGGCAACCCTGACAAGGTGTAATAGATTCAAATTGCAACTGCCATTGCCATTTCTCCAATCTCCAGTGGTTGAAAAAGTGGTCAGTGACCACGAAAATTTCTACTTTTAATTTTGTGATGTGTTATGTGTCTCTATGGACTTATTTAAAGGTAAGCCTGCTTTCCTGTCAATTTCCTTAATAATTCCTGGCAAATGCCCTATCTTTTTATAAGATAACTACAGATACTGCATGGTTAATTCTCTTTCAAATATTAAATTAAAGTAATAACACAGAAGAATTACCTGTAGCTGAGAGTATCTATTGTCAAGGGTGCCAGTGTAAAGGAACTGAAGACATTGCTGGATGGCGTGTGGAGTTACCAACTTGGTCAGAGTCACCACAGTCTGAACACAACTTGACACTCCTCCTTGCTGGTCCATCACTTCACACTGCTGTACACGGATGGCAGCGAAGGCAGGATGGTTGAGTTCCCGACTGCCACACACCTTCTTGTTGGCATTGCCACTGTTGCTGGACGTGGTCAGCACCTGGCAGCTGGATCTGCGCTTCAGTTGGTCCCACACTCTGCACACAGAAATATCAAACTCTCGGTTGACAGCACGGAGGTCCTCAGGCAGTGTACATGATGTACCAACATAAACAAATGTATAGAAAATATTATGAAATTTGAAACTTAAAATATAGTATGTATTAAACCTACAGTTAGCAATCAGTGCCGCATAAGAAAGATTGGTCCCTCCAGCAAGGCAACTGATTTCCAGTTAAGCGTTTTTCTGCCGTTTCTCTTCCTCTTTAGATTCCAGCAAACCAAATAAAAAAAATTCTTCTGAACTGCTTCTCATATTGACCAAGACACGCTGCACTCTAGTCTTTGTCAATCAACAACTGAGTGTGTGATGATAAGGTAGGTGAAGGTAGGCGTGGCGGCATCAGCGGTGCCTGTAGTGTGCTTACTACCAGCAGAAGTTTGAAAACAGCGGCGCGGCATGTCGCTCTATAGTGTGCGATGTGCTTACGAGTTTTTATGTTGAAAGTTAAGGTTTAGAGAACTTTTAATAATTGTGTTGAAAAAATTACCTACTATTATCAGTTTTAAAACTAGGATAAAGAAAATTTCATTTAGAAAAGAAAACTAACCTTACAGGTTTCTCAACTCGAATCAGATACTCTGTGTCATCATTGAAGTCACCTGATGTTGCTTCCCCAAATGTTGATACCTTTAAATAGATGAATCTTCAGTTAAACTCTGTTAGAAACACTTGAATTGAAATTCAACCATAGAAAAAAAAACTTTTATAACTATGCCACACATAATTTGTTAAGTTTAAATATTTTCTTTGGCCTTTAAAAATGAACTGTGAACCTTAACAAACTTTTTTTTCAAAATGCTTTAATTTTAGGGCTGTTTACACTATTTACAGGATCGCTGGACTTTTATCCCCATGGAATTTTACCCCCTGGGCAAAGCTGACGTCACTATGACGTAGTAACCTGAGTGGCCAAAAGTTTGTTCGCGGCCGGAATTTTACCCCCGCGGATTTCGAAGTCTAATGAAAATAGTCAGAGCGTAATTAATTACATTAGCGATAAAAACCGGAATTTTACCCCCTGTCCATATAACTAGCGTTTAGACGACTGAAGATGGATTTTTACCCCCGGATTTTTACCCCCCCCCCCGAATTTTACCCCTGGTCAATTTTAGAAATTGAATGATTGATTTTCTTATTTCTGTTTTTAATTAATTGTAAACATTTCATTATTTAGTAGCCTATCTTTATTTATTTATTTTGTAACCTCAACTAAGTAAACATAATTCGCTGTTTTATTTTGATCATATTAACCAACAGTTGGCTTCAAAGATCGAATCCTGATACTCAAATCTCAAAATTAAAATTAAAAACTTCTTTGATTGATTAACGTTACAAATAAATTAAGATACGCTACTTAATAATAAAATGTTTACTATTAATTTAAAACTAAATGAAGATGGGCCAGGGGGTGAAATTCCGGGGGTAAAAATCCAGGGGTAAAAATCCGGAGGGTAAAATTCCGGGGGTAAAAATCTGGGGGATAAAATTCTGGGGGTAAAAATCCGGGCCGTACATTCTAGGTTTTTATAATTTGATGTGTTCTGATTAAATTCACAACCGTGAAAATATATGTTTAATTCCCCGTTTAATCCATCGAGCTGATGTCGCAAAACTCAAAAGTTCGCGGCCGGAATTTTACCCCCTGGTTTGTGACGTCACGTTTGCCCAGGGGGTAAAATTCCAGGGGGATAAAAATCCGCTACCCCTATTTACATTTAAGCACATAGAAAGCACCTAGAAAGGTATCGTCATATAGTATGACGCTAATGGTATCAATACGTAAAGTTAATGTACATAGGAATTGCACCCAGTAAGGTATCGGCATACAGTGTGACCCTAAGGGTATCAATATGTAAATTTGACGAAATTTACCATTTTACTATACAAAAAGGGTATTGACACGTAAGTTTGACATATACGTTCCAAGAAACCGACTAGCAAGGACATAAAGAAACACACTACGACCCAACCAAGTCATTCATCACAAGGAAATATCCACAAACATTTTGGGGGTTTTAGATCGCTTTTCCTTTAACTGCACTTGAATTACTTTCATATAAAGTTCCACTGACCTGTCCATTAAATATATAAATATATATATTTTTTCAACACAGTTTGACAACGTACACTGACCATGCTGGACTCGCTAGCACTGCGAGTGTTGAGTTCCCCTGTAAGGTCAGTACATAGCAGACGATGCAGGGCTGGAGAGGCGGCAGCCAGCACAAAGCGGTGAGCGGAGAAACCAACGGCCCCGGCCACGAAGATCACATCAGCATGTGCCTGGGTGTGGAACAACCAGTGCAGGCTATCCTCGTATGTGGACGCTGACACATGGACCTCCGGCGGCCTTGGCTTGGGTGGGCAGTAGGGAGCCTGGCCAACACAAACAAACAAACATTAGCTGTCTTGTTAAGAGGGTAAACGAGAATTGACATTAATGACAACAATCTTTTATGTTACATTTAGGGCCGTTGCAAGGGGTAGGGGGCGCCTCAGGTGCCACGGAAAAAGTAGTACAAATATTTTAAGAAAAAAATTATATTAGATCGACAACATTTCCATTATCATGTTTCCAAGACCGTGGGGATGATGATTATATTTTCGTAACCGCAGGAGGTATTCAGGATTTTGCTGCGATCAAGACGAGATAATCTTGATATTGTTGCAATCGTGGAGGACTACGACTATATTTCAATGTCCGACGGATTTATTTAGGATTTTGGCTCGATCATGAAAGAAAATGATGAATGTTTTTTGTGATTGTGGAGGACGATGTTGATGTCTCCGCTACACATAATATCTCAGACAGCAACGAAACTTGCTGCTTGAGCATTGCCATTGTGTGTTTGGGGGGGGGGGTGACAACAATCTACTCCTGGCACCAATAAACCACGCGACGGCCCATTACAGTAATAAAAAATAATGGAGGAAATAGAATTTTAGACTGAAGCACAATCTGTGAGTCACTTTTCAATAAAATATTGGTTACAGCTTGTCCATAACGATGGGATTTCGAATTATCGATTTGTTCATATTTTCAAACTTGCCTTTTAAGACTGCTTAGGTTTCTAGTCATAACGGAATATTAGAAACAATCAAACAAAAATGTGTGCACTTACACTTAGATTTTATTTTTTTTTCACAAATGAATGATTGAAGTTCAAAAACTACATCGTAAAAAATACACATTTAACATACACAAAAATATAACCTTTGAAACCTTATTTGAAAAACTGCTAATTTTCTGCTGTTTCAGTAGCCCAAAATACTAAAGTTGACAACTGGCATTCCAATTTTTTTTCAAATATGTCTAGCCAACCTTCCCTACAAAAATGTACAATGTGGCCCTAGGGGAAAAAAGGTTGGAGAGCCCTGAAGTCACTTGAATACAATATGTTGAATGTAAAACTAGATGTACCTACTTAACCTAAAAATAAATTAAAAGTAAATGGGTCAGATTCTGAAAACTTAATAAATTGTTACTTAGAAAAGGACCAGCTGTTATTTAAGAAAAGAACCGTCATTCATTAATAAGAAATTCAATTGCATCATATTTTTATACATTATTTATACATCATATACAAGAGCTGTCCACAACATATATAAGTATAAGACCTGTAGGAGAGGGCGTTGTACTTTCTTGAGATTGGTCATCCAGAAGCGTTGCTGGCGTCTGGCAATTAGGGCAGCTCGTATCGCATTCTCAAACACTTCATTGACTCCGTAATATGTCAGCACACTAGTCTCGTAATAGTAGACTCCAAGTTCTCGAGCAATGCTGCGCGCCTGGTCTGGCATCACTAAATCTGACTTGCGGATTGCCCTGAAAATCCAAACATCCAATATACTGATATCAACATCAAAACTATTACTTATGCAAGACTGATTTATAATCTTGTTGGCATTATTTATGGGGTTTTGTTCATTACTTTCTGCACCAAAAATTAAATATCAATTTGCATATTCATATCTTACAGTACCGGTAAGTTACCATAAATTTCATACATTTAAAAGATCCATTATAGTTTGAAAAGATATAGTTGGAGATCGGGAGATTGTGTTCTAACAATGAGGATTCTCTTTAGAAGTATAACTTTTGGATAAATTTATTAGTAGGCCTATGTAGACTAATTTTTGTAACCTCTCTAAAGAAATTTAAAACAATTTGCAAGAATAGATTACTGTTACTTGGCAGGGGCCATCCATGAGGACTCTGGGACAAAGTATTCCCATTGCAATGGTAATCGTACACTTCAATTATTTCTAGTTGTATTTATATACAATTCTATCTTATTCGAAAAACACCAACGTTTTAGTCACACAAATATTTTTTAAGTCATTTTTTACAAAATCTGTTCCAAACTAAATACAGACCTCAGAAAAGGACTGCGATCTCTGAAGTAACTAAGGTAGGCCTCATCGCGGTACATGTATCGAAGGTCGTTTTTGCAACCAACTAGGAGGACAGGTGTTTGGGGACAAAAGCGACGAATTTCGGGATACCACATGGCCTTGCAGTTGCGGAGGGAATTGTGACTCGTCAGAGAGAAACATAGCAGAACTACATCTGACCTGTACAACAGAGGAAACAATAGTGAGTACTAACATTAACATAAAAATACAATTAGCAAATGGAATAAGCATATATATCATTGCAAAAGCTGTGAATTTTTAAACTATTACCAAAACATAAAGCCAAGAGGAAAAGCTAATAAGAGTACAGTGATAAGAATCTGAAGCATCTGAACCCACCAACATGCTGAACAAAAAGATAACATAATTTATTTCATGGTAGGCCAAGAGGAGATAATCAATACTATACTGTATGTATGTATGTATGTATGTATGTATGTATGTATGTATGTATGTATGTATGTATTATTATTATTATTAGCAGGTCAACTTCTGCATTTTGCGACCTTGCTCAGTTTGTTGGGATGATTATCTAAAAACCTAGAATGGATGTGTGCAATAAGTCTTTAGTTAATAAGTGCTTACTCTTACTAACTCTTTGAGCCACATGAATAATATTTGATTGAATTTTGTTATGCTTATTTTTAGTATTTTTCCCCCTTTCTCGCAGAGACTCAAATGTTTCAAAATTGTTTAAAACAATTTTTAATGTACATAGCAGTTTTTTTAATTCTGTAAAAAGTAGAAAAATCTCTGATAGTCTGATGTGTTGTCATTTGAATCATATAAGTGAGAAATTTACTTCTCAGAACCTTTGGTCAATGAACAGCAAAATTTTGATGTGCTAAGCTTCCAACAATAAGGATACATTTTTCTTATACATTGACAAGTACCACTACCAGAACAGAGTACATTGAATCCAAAAGTGTTGCAGAACAATTGGGACATGTTGAGTATGAGAGTTAGTTAGCAGCCACTCAAGTACTGTACAAGAGTTGCTAATGACAGGGTTTAGCATGTGTTAGCATATTACGACTTGTCATGGTCATTATCACATAACAACATATCAGTATTCCTCCTTTAGTTATGTGAATTTGTGACAAGATCTCTGCAGAACTATGAGACTGTCTTATCAATTTCCTGTTTGATTACTCAGAACTGATTATAATTTATATGGCTGATTCACAAGATTTTTCTAAAATTATAAAATATTATAATATAAGACAAACTAATAACAAATACTAAATGGTATTATCAAATTTAAATTATAAGGTGTTTTTGGAGTGTTTTTATTTTGTTTTAGTAACCAGTTCTCAGAGTGGTCATGGGCGTGAGTTATAGTCAATGGTTATATGTGATTAAAATAAAACCTACCTTCCATATGCGAATCGCCGGTCTTTTTCGTGGTCTCCGAAAGTGTCCCATAGTCTTAGAGAGACATTTACACCGTCGACTACTTCCCATGATCTTTCTAAAACCTGAAAGTTAAAAAGATTTGCTATTAAATTGGTGTTACCTTGTCTTTTTACTATTTAAAAGATTTGCTATTTGGTTTTCTTGCTTGTCTTTTAACTATTTGAAAATTAATATTATGTTATGAATTGTTAAATTTTTATCTTCTTACATTAATCCACTGTAGCCATGAACGTGTCACAATTCTTGAGAACACTTTGCATTATGATAAACAGTAATGAAACTAGTGTGACTGAGACATGACAAATTGATAAGTATATGTTGATAGCACACAAAGAGCAAATACATTTGTTGTTGGGATACTGCCAGAACTAAAAGCAGAATAAGCTGTGACTTGGGATTTATAAATAATACAGTTTATAAAAGTTTTCAACAAAATTGATTAATTCACAACCATTTCACAACTTGCCAATTATCAAGGGAGAAAATATGCTTAGAACTTTGTTAACAGAGTAATTATTAGAAAAATGTTGCATCGTTATTAAACTATTATCAGTAAACAAGCTAAAGTAAGATTTTCTTACTTCTGAACCTCAGTTTACTTAGTAATTAATCAACTTGTTTTGAAATTGAACTGGCAGGATTAATGAAAACAACTTTAGTTTACTACTTCTGCAGTATGTTACAAATCTATGTGAATACGTATTGAACAATAATAGTAGTTTACACAAGGATTGCGTAAAGAAAGATAGTGTTAGCGACACGAGTAGAAAATTTAAGGTAAGAACCTTGGTTGGTGCCTTAAAAACTTCTACGAGTGTCGTTAATACTATTTACGCGAGTTGAGTACATTACTTTACCTACGACAACGACAGTGTTTTAATTACTAAAAATCACTACTCATAACTTCTAAGAGAGGTTATGTTTTTAGCGAATTTCCCATATAGGGAATAAGCTATTACCGTAGGTCTCATGGTAAGACTTGGACCCGGGACCGATTTACTTTTTCATTTTGATGTCCCTAGAAGCCAAAAACACCATCCGTTCAAATTCATATATATATATATATGTGTCCGTCAGCACGATAACTCGAGCAAAAATGATCCGATTTTGATGAAATTTGGTACAAACGTGTAAACCTACGTTTATTCGAACGAGTTCGCGAACCAGCATGATTGGCCCATGGGAACGGGGTTTTATGGGGGGATTTATGGGGTAAAAATTGGTTTTCCTCGTTTTTGCCCCCCAAAACTTAAAATTTTCGAAATTTTCTCTAGATAATTTTAAAGAGCTCAAAAAAACAAATAATTTAGTATATTGAAGTGTTTCTGTATGATTATTGGTTACGGAGAAAATTGTAAATTTAAAATTCCCATGTTATTCTTATGGAGAATAAGTAAACTGTTGTAGTTTGCTTGTTTATGGATATATTTGGATCAAACCTGGCAAATCTATTTATTTTATACAAAGCTATATTTTACTAAAAACACACTTTATTACCCTCCCTGTAGGCAGCAAACCTAGGTACTCGTTAAACCTCATGTTATTTGAATAGATTTAATTGAAAATCAAATCAGGCAAATGGAAATTCGCTTAGTCTGCAGGTTTGCTGCGGCGGGGGTATTGTTTATTGCCACTGACAGTGATGCAATGAAACATTGTGCTAAACTAAACACTAATTGCACCACTCAACAATTTAATTGGCCTGAACAGCTGATTAGTTGAAGTTCGAATCATTACAATTTTACTTCTGCTCTCTCAATCCTTGAACCTCATTCGTCAGTTACCCGTGTTGTTATGTGAAACTTTTCTATTCTAAGAACTGAACTGAAACAGCTTCTTTAAAAAACGATCAGAGGTAAAATATGTATTGAAAAATACCAAGTCTGTGTTTTTGCAACCCAATAAACAAAACCCACCTACTACTATACTCGAATGCAGCTGATGCTAAATTGCTGATGAATATTTATTTTGATGTATATAAAAATGGATTTCAAACAACATAGGGAAATAATAATGCTAAGTTCCTACTTATTACTTAGGACCTTGAACTAGCAGTATTTTATGAATTACTTTGCCAGATGAATGTTTACCAAACTATTGTTTTTGTCTGAACGTTTATTGAAACAATTTAAAATCTAATGGGTGAGAAGAGGAAGTTGAAAATTCTGTTCTTATTAGTTGTATAAGAAGATTTAAGTACAGTAAAACCTCACTAACTTGACAGTCAACAGCTGACAGGGCTCACAAAAAAGCAATTTTTTCAGAATATTTAGTTTTAACCCTCAAATATTTGTCTTTCAAGATTTTTTACTCAATATGTAAAATATAATGTAAGTAGCCCTAATGGGTTTATAAAAAAAAATCTTTATGTATTTATTTATTAAAACCTATTAAAAATTTCAATGTTCTGTATAACTTGATAACCTCTAGGTCCACAAATTGTCGAGTTAGTGAGGTTTTTTGTACCGAGAATGTATAGTAAGAGATTGGATGAACATTTATTTTTAAATAAATTCCATGTTAACACGATACTGTAATTGGATTACAAGAATATTAACTGATAAAAAAAATATTTGGTCTTGAAAAATAAAAAAAAGTAGTACATAATAAAGCAAAGCAAAAATAGAACTTTAACGTTTGGCGGGAATTGTTTGAAATATGCAAAGTTTAAATTATAAATTCAATAATGAATAAAAATATAAATAATAAATATTAAAAATAAGTTACGTTCTACACTCTTGTTGGATAAATCTTATAATTTATAGAAGTTTCTAAACAAATATATTGTTTTAAGACACTTAGCTCGCATAAAAAAAATAATGTTTAGCAAATACTGGTACTTTATAATTTGTATGCAATATTAAAATAATGTTGAATTAAATTTTTTTTTGCCACACTAAACTGTTTTAATAGACTTTCTACGCATGAAATTAGTACGGGAAACAGCTGTTTGCCACCTGCTTAATCAAATGTTTCATTACAGTTTCATTACTTGCTACTGTACTGTAATGATTTTTTACCTGGCACCAGCTGATTATAATTGGCAACAAGTCAAGAAATAAATAAACAAAAACAGAACCTCTCTGCGAGTAGTGAGTGATTGTTAAGTCCTTTAGTCGGTAGGAATATATGACGGATTTGTAGTTTTCTTTTTATAAGAGTTGTATGGTGAAAAATATTTTACGTAACTCTTCCAAAATATGTTTACCGTACTTGTATAGTAATCCTGCACTCAACTTCCAATCGCGCGGGGACAACCATACTCGACCGGTGAACACCTATTTTCCGGACTAGTAACGTAATATAGTATTACGTTACTTCCCGGGGTTTAATCTGCACTTATACTTAGAGTCACAATATTGGGCGGATACTACCTCCACACCTTGACAAAAATCAACTCCAGTCTCTTCCGATAACTGCCTGAAATTGAACTTGATGTGCTTCTTCAAAGAAGCTGGGTACATTCAAGACAGATTGCGGAAAACATAGATTTTAATAATTTTTACTCCAAGTGCAGAGGTAACCTCCACTATGCACCTACATAGCCATTCCATTCAATAAAAGCCAGCAACAGCATCTCACAGAGCGAGCTAATGTCTCAAAATGTAATTTTATCAGTAAGAACTTTTGACTCGAGAGTAGTTGGCGTGATATAAAAAACGCTGTAAATTTCACAGTGATTGTATTTTCACTTTGGTACAGTTTAAAATCTGTTCACAGTAAAGATAAGTTTTTTACAGTTCAAACCCTGAAGGATTAAATCAATAATGGTGTTTTACTACAAGTGGCTACAAATGGTTACTTGACGGTGCTGGTACCGGTACTCACATCTTTGTAGATGCGGTACTGGTCGATGGCCCAGACCGTAGGTACGTGCGTGGTCAGCAGTTGAGATAGAGACAGCTGCTTGTTGCAGGCACGAGCGCAGATCAGCCGAGTCTTGCCCACCGCTGTGTCTCCCACCACCACACATTTCACCAACTCCTGGTGGGGTTGTTCATTATCCATTATCATTGCCCATCATACAAGCAGACACCTGCAACACCACAATAGAACATTCTGAGACAGTTGATATACTGTAGACACATTTATACTTTCTCTAATTCTAAAGCTGGGTTTTCCTAGATGCGGAAGAGGAGCGTGGAGGGCGGAAAAGCGATTAACATGGCATTCTGCTCCGCTTCTAGGAAAACAGTAACATTAAATTACCTAAGACAAGAGGAGTCTGCTCTCCCTGCTTCGCTTTTGCGCCTAGGAAAACCCTGCTTTAGCTCTGACATTTTACATTATTTTATTCTCTGAAGAAGTAAGGACAACATATGAGTGTTATGTTTTGCAATTTTTTTGGAGGTATCTATTAGCCAATGGGCTCAAATTTTCTGAGCTAAGCTTTTGAAATCTCTTCCTTTTCCAAAAATTCCTAAATTTATGAGAATGTACTCTAAAGTATTAAATGTAATGTATTGAGATCCAACAGTCTTGAGAGAGAATGTTCAACAAAAGTATATCGAGCCATTTACAGGGTCAATTATAAAATTGAGGAACAGACAACGAAGTATTATGGTCCTGTGTTAGCTCATGTTTTGGCTCACTCTAAATGTTTTATCACCAACTGAAATGGTGAATCAACTAGATTTGTTTAAAATGAGTGATTTTATATCTAGTGTAAAAGCACTCTATTGGATATGAATTGTGGAAAGCTTTAAAGAGGCTTCAAGCTTCTAATTATCATTTTTAAATTTATTTTTATCATTTAAGATGGGGACACCACCTAGGTACGTATTTTAACCCAAATGAGTATTGGATGAGTGTTGTAGAATGTTGTGAGATGATCTGTGTAGCTTTGTTACTGACAGAGATCAGCTGTTTTATCAGTCAGGATCATTTATTTTTAAAGCCCCGTTTACACGACCCATTCCCGACCTCCCGTTGCTGTACCTGGTCCCGACTGCCCTGTCACCTGGTCGACAAAGCGTTGTATTTACACAACCCGTTCTCTACGCCCGATCTGAGCTGAGTGCGTTGCTTTCCTTCGTTGAATAACGCCATTTTTAGATTTAAAAAAGTTGTTTTTTTGAAGTGCATATTGTGCATGTCTAAATGCATGTTGTTTTTTCAAGTGTAAATATAAAGCTTGAGAAGTGCAAAACAAAAGCTTGTAAGATTTGTACACTTCTATCATTTCGGTCAAAACGTTTGTTCCTTCTGCGGAGTAGATTCCGTCATCTCCAAAACACGAAAAAAAAAACTGTAAAGGCACCTCAGACACTTATATCAAGGTTGGACTGAGAGATTTGTCTGATGTAGAGTTTCGGAATTCACATCCGTTCCCAGAGTAAGTGTGCTATCTCCACCCTTCCTCCCTAAATCCGATGAAAATCCATCCCAACCCCCCTTCCCGGTCGCCAGCCAAATTGTGACCAGGAGCACGCGTTTACACAATCTGATTTCAGGGTGTTGTGTAAACGAGGCTTAAATCCCAATGATAAGGAACAGCTGGGTCCAGTTCCAAACCATCAAAAAGCCACTGAAATTTCTCAGCATGGAAACGGCAACCTTTTGATTGTTAGGCGAGCATTGTATAACCACTCAGCTATCCAGCCAATTTATTTATTTATTATCCTCTACTTATCTCTAGAGAAGAGTAAAACTATGTTTTTCAATCCAGGAAGAAGTCAAGGCCTCAACATGGCAGAAAGCAAAGACAAAGTCACAGACACATTTTGACTTCAAAGAAAAAACATTTTAGAATACAGGTTTTCTGCGACGGGAATATTGTCTCGCATCACTGGCCTCCTTACAAAAACAATAATATTTTACCAAACTAATTAAGTGATCGATAATAATCTCCTCCTCCATGTTGTACAAACAATTTGTTTAGTCAAATAGAGAACTGGAGAACCAACTATTGCCTAAACAGCCAACATTTTGACCATACTGAAAGTCACAAACTAACAAAACTACTGATTTACATCGGGGCAAAACCAGTCTGGACTGCAATGATGTGAACACGTACATAAGGCCTATAGCCATCCAATCCAGGTCCAGACTAGAAGTATAGGCTCGTCCGCATGTTCTTTCTCCCCGGTCAGAGGCTTAAGTTTGTCATAACCCGTTTTCTGGTTTTTAGGAAATGTCTTTATTGTGTACACAAAAGATCCTCGTATTCACAGTAAGGATAAGAAAATTAGTAAAATGCCAGATTTGCGGTGCAGCTCTGAGAGAATTCACCCATTCTGCCAACTTTCACCTTGTAGGAGCTGGTCCCCCCCAAACAGGTGGACTCCGCATGAGACAGAGTTCAAACCCTCAATCTATCTAAAGGAGAGACGTCTTGGACCACTCGGCTACTGACCATACTTAGAACACTAGTCAACTTGACTCCCAGCTGGCAGCTCATGTCAAGTACAAATTTCAGCTATTTTTCTTGAGTTACTCGCCAGTGGTGTAGTGGGGCGTGTGCTTTTATCAAAGAGCCTCAATAAATTGGTTTAGTGACCTGTATTTTTCTGCGACAATTGTGAGCACTGGAACATTTATAGCTACTACAGTGTTAGCAAAACGGGAGTGCTGATGGAGACCAGGTCAAGTCTCTTCAAACGCACGCACCCCCATAGGTCTCCATCGGCACTCACGTTTTGCTAGAGGGAGTCTAGCGAGTCACTACCGTTACTCGCATAGATGTTGTACTGGAAGTCTGGTCATGCCATTCTTGCATCAAACATTTTGAATGTTGGAGCTCAAAGGGTTAGTAAAAAATAAATCATAAATCAGGTATAATCGAAAACCATGGTGCTGGAAAACTACAGCATTCAAAGCTTTTATACTTTATATCAATCACTTTTCAAATGCACAAATAAATATTCCACATAATTCATCAGTAACAATAGTTGGTTCATTAACATAGTGGAATACAATATTGCTTGATAAGCTCAGCTTGATAAAATTTCTTGAATTATTCTCCCAAGTGGAGGTGTTTAGGGATTATCTAAGTAAAACTACGGCGAAAAACGAATTAAAACTATAAAATAATCAAATGTATTTCTCATTAATGTTTTCATGACAAGGAACAATATTGGACAACAAAACAGACAGCTGATAGTAAATAACATTCATATCATCTGTAGTATGACTATTACAAATAACGAAAGGCAGGCATTTTCAACACTTTCCCTTATTTGCATAGTCACTCCGAGAGTACAAGATTTTCTTGCAGGACTTGAAGTCTTGGTTGAGGTATAGGGTTCGTTTCATTTCAGTCTGACTAGTCGCTGTGACTAATCCGTCATCAACATAGAGTGCAACAATGATTTTTCCAGCAGGGGTAGGACAAATGTAGACGCATGGATCTTCACGGCTCTGTCGAAATCCTAAGCCTTTCATGAAGTCGTCAAACCGTTTATTCCAGCATCGAGGTGCCTGTTTCAGGCCGTATAAGCTGCGTTTTAGACAACAAACACGATTTGTCCCATCTGAATATCCTTCAGGCTGCTTCATAAAAATCTCTTCTTCAACGTCTCCGTACAAGAACGCAGTTGAGACGTCAAACTGCCGTAGAACCATCTTCTCAACAGCTGCGATGGACAATATTGATCGAACGACCTCCAGACGAGCAACCGGGCTGAAGGTTTCGGCATAATCAATACCAGGTCTTTGCGCACATCCTTTGATGACCAATCTCGCTCGATATTTGTCAACACTTCCATCAGGATTGCGCTTTATTCGGTAGACCCACTTGTTGTTGATAGTCTTCTTTCCCGGAGGGAGTTCGGTCAATTCCCATGCACCGTGTTTATGCATGGACGCCATTTCTTTGTCCATTGCTGTTTTCCATTCAGCACTATCTTCTGAACTGATGGCTTCAGTGTACGACTTAGGTTCATCGTCAACAAGAAGAACTTCGGCAAAGTTAGACGAGACGTAATCGGTTAGCCACTCGGGTTGCCTTCTTTCCCGAGTCGAGTGCCGAGTTGCAGGATCGTTGGATAACTCTCCATCTTCACTATCACTGCTACTTGACGGGTCTTCAGTCGGTATAGGCGCATTATTACCCTTCACTGGAGAACTAGGCTCTTCAACTTCTTGCCAGTCTTCTTCGATGTCATTGGTTTTATCAATCTTGATAGGCCACTCAACTTTCTTGTCACAGTCTCCGACGATTTCGTGAAAAACGACGTCACGAGAAACTACGATATCTCTTCTCTCTGGGACGTAGATTCGATATCGTTCATCGCCATCGTATCCAACCAGGTAACCAACCACAGCTTTCTTGTCCATTTTCCGCCTCTTCTGCACAGGAACATGGACGTAGCACTTTGAGCTGACCACTCGCAGATGTTTGATCCTCGGCTTTTGACCAAACCAGAGCTCAAAAGGTGATTTGTTGGCAACTGCTGACTTTCCCACACGATTCAAAACGTAGCCAGCAGTGATGACAAGTTCAGCCCAGATCGCTGCAGGAAATGTCACATTTGGATTGGCATACTTGAAGGTACGGGCCATTTCCACGATTGTTCTGTTCTCTCTCTCTACAGCACCATTTTGCTCGGGTGTATACGGCGCTGTCAGACGTTGGTTAACACCATATTCTCTGAGGATTTGACGAACTTCAGCGTTGTCAAACTCACCACCGTTGTCACTGAGAAACTCTTTGACGTGATGACCAATTGTGCGTGCTTTAGACAACACTTCACGCAACGCTTCCTTCACAGCAGATTTTTCCCTTGCGACAAAACAGTATCGGTACCTTGAAAAGTGGTCTTTTATCACGATCAAGTATCGGCGACCTCCGAAGGATGGGTCAAACGGGCCGCAAACATCACCGGATAACAACTCACCGGGGGCTGAGGGGCGTTCTCGTGTTCCAAATGGTAGACGGTGTGCCTTTCCGAACTGACACGGTTCGCAGATCTCGTAGTTGGCTGGCACTTTGATACCCATTTCGGATTCGAGCTTTGAACGGACGTAACGTTTATCCATGTGAC